CAGGAACACCTCCCAACCACGATGAGGCGGTAAACCGTTGGGAGGTGGAGATACTTTACATATACATTATATATACACTTTACATATATATATGCATACATACATATACAAGCTTATCTGTTTACTTATTTATTTATCTATTTATTTATTCATCTATTTATTTATTTATTCATTTGTCCAAATCACCCATCTTCACATACTGCAGTGATCATTGTTTTACATTCGTCTTCCACAGATGCTTTGTAGAATGACTTCGGCTTGAACATAAGGAGTTCGTCTTTATCATGAATGTCGTTGATTGCGAATGCTGATCAAGTATGATTCTGTCTAGATCTCGAGATAGCTTTGTTAAACTGCTCCTGTGTCTTCAACACAGGTAGGTCTTCGTCGACAACAGCGAAATTTTCCGAGACAAGTTCAATGCTAATTTATCGACGTCGGTGGCACAACGGATTGTTGAGCATTGTTGCTTGGTTGACCCAGCGACTATGGATGTAATGAAGGACGCTTCTAACGACTGCGCTACATGCGCCCAAATTAAGGTTCCGAAAAAAATTCGTGTTGGTGAAGGGATTCCTTCATCCTAATGGATGATTGGAACACTGCAGACAGAAAAAATTGTTTGTTACATAAAAACCAGCATGCTTATATAAACGAAGAATACAGGAAATTGAATAGCAGGGATGCTGAGACATGAGCAAAACTCGAGAACTTAGTTGCGTTTCGAACCAGCTATTATCCTTTCGGGGGTTCGCGTGCTTTCATGTCCTATCGTGGTATCTCGTGACCACGTACTATGCGTGCTAGAAAAGAATAGGCAAAAAACAAAGGTTGAAAAAGAAAAATTCTTATCGAAGGAAATATAAAGCAGGCTTTCAACACCGTTCTAGTAACTCGAATGATGTCACGTTTCAACGCAGAGTGAGAATTTTGCGGCAACAATTTCTTCAGGTAATTGCCCCTACTCCATGCTTGCAGTCGAAATTAATCAAGTTGTTAAGATTGATGTGTATAACTTCAATGATGCTCAGATATTTGCAGAACTCCGAACAGCAGGTATCCGCGGTGGGGAACGAACGCTCTATTATCCTTTCCGAGGAGTAACGCGTTCACCACCACAACAATTGATGTGTATAATTGCTTTCAGCATCCAAGTTATTCTTATTGATGTCTGTACTGAGCACCGATTTCGCAGTAGATGCATGAATTTTGGAACTGGAAATGAGAATGAGAAGCAAGCATAGGAGGCATGAACCAGAAGGGATTACTGCAATCTCTGGAAAATTAGGGTTATCTTTATATTCAACTTCTTGCTCTCTCTACACTTGGACTGAAAACTTTGGCGAAACGGAATAGAACACTTTGCATTTCGTCCTGCTTCTTTTCGAATCAGCCAGTAAGCCCCGTGGCTTCGAAATCAAACATACTTCTACCAGACACCATAACACTGCGCTCGGTTTATTGTAGATAGCTTTAATAACGCAATAGAAGGCACGTATTTGGCCACTACGGAGGTAATTTGGGTTACTCTATAGCTGTTGCAAAGGAAAACTGTTGTTCCGAAATCTCCTTGGAAAATAAACAGATCCAAAGGACGTATGTATACAAACTACTTTGCACACCCATGTATAGATTTATTTCAACGCACACGATCACTACCGCGTTTGCGAGAAAATATATATCCACCGAATACGAGCGAATAGCGCAGTGGTCGGAGGCGCCCTGCAACACATACGTGAAACTGATTCACGCGCCCATAGCCCACCAAGCTTTCGATCCTTCTGGGGTCGGCAAATTGGTACCACACTTGTCTGGAAGGATAGTAGCACTGGCTCAATACATTGGTAAACCACCGTGAATCGTTGTAAAGGCTGAAACGCATTCAATCACCTACAAACAATGCTAAATGAAGTCGAACGCATGGCGCATGCCTCAGGGATTGATCAACGCTGAGAGCTTTAGCACTTTATCCTTTATGAGCGAATGGTGAAAAATTAGGAAAACTAAAGAGAAAAGATTGGAGGGCAGAACCCATTTCGCCTCCTGAATCTCTCTGTCGCGTGTCCAGGTCTTGTTGTGTGCTATCATCAAGTCATCTACGCGATTCCATATTGTGTTGAAGAAACTCCACATCTTTTACTATCTCCACCTCTTTCTATTTTTGATGCATACGGTGCTAGTGCTTCTCAAATTTTTTTTGCTAGTCTGCAAAAACCGAGACTATTCTAGAAGGAGTAACAGCTCAATTTTCTCATACCGTTTCTATATGTACCGTTTGTTATATTTTTTTATATATGTATGTATATCGTTTCAATCTGGTTCTATTAGTGGACATTATGGCTTTTATCATGGATCTATCCTAGATTTTTTGATTCTAGACTTCATAAAAGTTGATGAGTCAGTACGAAGACAAATAAACGATTCATTTTACGAACTATGTTTCCAAACGACAGTATCCGAAGAAGAATCGATATGATTTCCGTTTTCCGTCTCACTAGAACCTCAGGGAAGAATAAAGTTATACCAGAACCCATTACCCCTAGAAGAAATCTGCCTGTAAATTAGCTCCGACTCATAAAAACCAACTACTCCTTTAACGATCACTTGGAAATACTTAAATACTGGGAAATCTAAGGGAGAAATCTAGAAATCTGCCCAACATATAATACACAATGTACCAACCTCTCTAGTTCGCATATCGGGTACACCCGTCTATGACAGTATGCAATCAGATATCGGTAAGAAGCCAACAGATCTCTGATTGAAACGGACGCCATCAGTGCCGGACCAAATCTTTATGCCCACAACACGGAATGGAGCTTGTTTTTTTGTATTTATAACACCAGAACAATCTGCTATAACATCGACCTCAAAAGTCGTTCTAAGACTTCAAGTCGTATCAGATTTTATGTGATCACAGGGGATGCGAAGCAAGAAGAGTGGCCTAGGCCAATTAAACGAGTGTACCAGGTTTCATACGATGTAATGGAATTGAAGCACAAAGACGGATTTACGCCAACTATATTACGGGACCTTTCTCAATTATTAAAGCCCCGTCGAGAAACGCTGGTGGCGCAGGCTCGTCCATTTAATATTCCGTTGATTGTCGACTCGTACAAGTTCCTGCCACCACTTCATGCCATCCTCCACTTTCATCTTCTGCATAGAATGCCAGTATCATCAATTTCTACATATGAGCCTGTGCAGCTGATAAGAACGAATCACAGGCACCGATCGAAGAAAGTGACCCGCTACGACACAAGAAGTACTGGAGGAGATTTTAAGGCCAGAAAGGAAAAATGTCAGTTAAAATGAATACAACGTCGATAAATTTCGGATAGAAACCTGAGTCAAGAACACAAGCAATCTTGTCGACTTCTCGTCTACAAAATCCTTCTATCTTAAAAAAAATCACTTTTGATGAAAAAAAAAAACGAAAATCACTTTTGGAAGTGGTAAGCACCTTATGGAACAGTTCACGCAATCAACCATTTTCTCATCGATTCAAAGCACAAAGAAGGGTTTTATGTTATCTTCCATCATTAAGGAAACATAGGAAAAGCATAGGGAAGAAGAAAACTTCATCCAAAGGTAACAAATCTGATAGAGCTGGTGTGAAAAAATAGTTGAACTCTATCCAAACAAAAGCTGCTATCGGCACTGTTGAACGATAACACAATCCTCCTCACATTCCGATTGTAGAAACGTTATATTCCATTTCGCTGTGTTCAACAAGCCTCTCTTTTCTTTGGTAGTGGAAACCTGATTCTACGTGGGATAAATGATTACGGAAAATGACATGCAAAATGCATTGCACAGAAGAAGAAGAGTATCGTCGGCTGCATTGCGTCCTCTTAAAGATGCCAGCGATTAACTGGTAGACCACAAACAACTTGCTAACCTCATCCTGAACAATTCTGGCGCTATGATTATGCAACAGTTTACACTTTGAGCATTCTAGACATGACAACATTTTCTGAAATACATTTTCCATCCACAGAATCAAAAACCGATTTTCAGCTAACAATTCTGCCTTAGGAGCAGATAGCACAATGGCAATGATTCCGTTTATCATGGTTCTCCTTCTCTGGGTCTCCCATCTCTTTGGAGTAACAAATTTGTCTTAGCTCGGCTTACTTCGACCAATCGATATGGGAACTACCTAACATGGCTATCTCAGGATTTCAGGAAGAATCGAATCATCCAGCAGCCAGTGATATTCGCACAGAAGACGGAAATCGTCAAGCAGCATCCAAACCTACAGGCAAAATCCGAACACCGTCAGTGCAAGAACAGCCGGAACCTGCATAAGATGTGACGTCAGATGATGTAGAAACATTCTTTCAAGATCTAAAGCATGACTTAAGTTATGAGAATCGACGACGAGTAGTCGAGAAAAACGATAACGTAGACGACGATCACTTACAAAAAGTACGAACGTGTTTGAAGCGCATGCAAAACAAACTGTATCCGCAACGAGAAACGGTTTGCGAATAACGGAAGGATACTCGCAGACGTCATCTTACACGAAAGCGACCGTCGCTATGAATGACGATCATAATAATGACAGCGGTGGAAAATGTGATAGGGTAGGGACAAAACCGTGGAGCCAGCGCATTCAACTATCCACGCTTGTAAGCAAAAGGAATCGGATTCCGTTGGTTTCTGTAATGATCTGAATCAACGTTAATCGTTTGGTGACTCGGATAAATATTTCATCACTTGATGGTTCCCTTCAGTTCGTCTTCCTGATAACAACAGGTTTACATCTCAAATAGGTGTTAAACTATGCCAATGTGATGGCGGCCATGAAGATGACGACATCTTCACGGATCTCAGCTGTACGCAGATAACTTCGCTGTTGCTCATAAACACACCGACCCACCTCAAGTTGAGCAACCTCGGAGCTTACACAAACATAAATGTATGATAAGAAACTGCTGATAACACCAACAGTATAAAAGCTGCCAGTGATCATCGCTTCAATTCAACAACTGACAATGCCACAGCGCATGCCGTCTAATCGCAGACAGAGTGCTTCGCGTTCTCTTTCAACTTACAGAAGTCGTAGCAAACGCAATCTGTCGCTACGTAGACGCTCAGCATCAACGACCGCCAAGAGACGGAGGTCTAACAAATCAATTTCATGTGAGCCATCGCTTTTGAATGAATGATTAGCAGAGCTCTGATGAATGCCATTTTAAGATGCCGACGAGCGCGGAGGAGTTCTAGCCACTGTCGCAGACGAGAATACCGAATCTCACTATCCTCAAGCGCTAAGTGAAAAGTGAGTGTGCTATATCGTCTCACGTAGACGGTGTTAAAGTTAAGGATAAGTACAAAACGAACTATGGACAGCCAAAAAAGCAAAGCTATCATTATTGGTCGATCAATACCTAAACCCTACATTGTGCATCGACAACTCTGAACATCTCTGTCCTTGTGAAAGTTCGTGTACCGTATTCAAAAATGTTATGGTAGAATGGTTCGCCTTTAATTTATTAACAATCATATTTTATCATTCTTATCATGGCTGTTCCGATCCAACCAAAATAGGCTTGAATACTTCAAACCCTTTACGTAGAAGTGCAGCATATTTTCGATAAAGATTTGATAAAGCTCAATGCCTAGGTCGAAGTTATCGAGGAGGGTAAGAAAGCGGTCATCAACTCCAGTCAGAGAAACACGAAAGCACGTCAAGAACAGCTCTGTGAAGACCGGAAAGCGACTGCCGGCTTCACATAAAAGTCGGCACACGAAAAGCGAGTACGTCGTTTTGCTTTTTCATTTAGGCTTGAGAACTTGACAGATTCAATGAACACACTTTGTTCCATAGTTCTACGGAAATACAAGATTCTTTCAAAACTACGCTTTAGGTTCAGATTCGTCTAGAACGTTAATCCTTAAAAACAAAAACTGAATCCAAATTTTGAACACTGGATGCAACCATGACAGGTGCAAATATCATCATCGTGTCCTGTTCCATGACAGCCTACTTGCTAGATCATACTGCACGAGCTCTCATATTTTGGGTTTCAAAAAACGAAGATTTAAGGGATTAAAGTCTCAAAATGTAGGACAATTAAAGCCCTATCCTGTTGGCAGTGACCTTTAGAATGTATTAGACTTTACTTGAATTGATAAAGCTTACGATAAGCTACTTTTCTTTCAGATAAGAGTGATAATGTTTGGCGCTGCATGAGTAGAAAACAATTCTTGCCAGCCAGTTCATTCAGATAATAGGCTAAATAAACTTTTGTTGTCGTCAATCAGCTAAAATCATCAAGAAAACCAGTTGTTCTACTTAATGCCAAAAACTATAGGATGCCTCCTAACGGTTTACCGCCTCATCGTGGCTCGGAGGTGTTCCTAGGCGTCGGACTGCGATGTACAGCGGGGAGATTAGTCCCCTGGCAGGGTCTCCCAAGCTGAGAAGGAGTCCGGCGTTTCCATCAGGAAGCCTATAGGAAGCCTAGTTAACAATAAACCTGGATCCACCACAATCCTGGTAACACAGTCGCATGGTGGAAAATCTCCTGATCCACAAGGGATGCAACTGCTTGTGGTGGTGAAGACCTGGGGCAGACTTTGGCCAGGTTGACCTCGGGATTCCAGGGAACTACAATAGCTTAACCAGCAAATCTCCGAAGAGTGAAGATTATGCTGGGGATCGCAAGACCAGTGAGCCATTCAATTTTCAAGTATCAAGTAATATAGGATGAACGTGTGAATCTGTCTCACGGTGTACTTCTGCAGCTTAAGAAATGCAACGATGTCCCAGTCGAATGTATAGATCTTAGCAGAGTGATTGAAAAATAGAACATTCCCATTCTTTCTAAAAAAAAAAAAGCGAACCAAGAACTAGTTATTTCAGCCATAATGACCAACTACAAAATTATTCAAGATATTCTGCCCAAAGTTCTTGACAGACTGAAAACAAAACCTCTCCACTTTTTTGTTATTCTGGCGTTGAGTGTTCTGCAAACAAGTTATGTTAGAAATGGACTGATTTTCAGAGGACTGAAAAGGGACAGCAACGGACGTCTTCGCGACAAACTTGGACGCTTTGTTAGCGAGGCAAGTCGCCGATAACGAAGTACTAACCGACCCAGACTGTAGCACTATTGCAACCATTGTACTAGAAAGAACTGACAATAAAATTTCTTGCGGTGGTATTCTATATAAGTACTATGAAATAACTGAAAATACCACATGGAACGCTTTCATTAAATCGTTAGCTCGAATCCAAAAAAGCAAAAGGATAAAGCTCTCGACGTTGATGAACCCCCAAGGAATCCTAGAACAGCCTTCCTTGCTAATGCGTTACCATGGTCATCACCACAGATATCCGCTGTATTTTTCCGAACTGAAACAGGGTGATACCAATTTCCTCACGGTGAAAGGATGAAGGGTTCGATGATCCACGAACGCAGTCGAATTAGTGACCATGCGTGTTGCTCTAACACCTGAGAAATCTCTAACACCACTATGATGATTCTTTCATCTCTTAACTTCTACACGACTACAATAACTATAATTAGGTTTCATTACTATCGCTAATCATATAAGATTCAAAGGAGACCTCTTTCTGTTCAGAGTTGTTTTCCACTTTCATAACTCATGACAAACTGGTAATGAAGATCGAGTGCCCAATCACAGGTTCAATAGCAAGTGTAAAGTTTGAGAAAACGCCAAGCTCCGTTTCACGAATAAATTTAAACTTCACAGAACGTTCGCATTTTATCTCACATTATTAACACCTTCAATGCTCATCGGAAATAATAAGCCCTAAACAAAGGCAACCCATAATTTGTTCGCATCCAAACATTTGCAATAAAAACCAAATAACGACCTTAAAGACAAACACCCTATGACAAATACCTAATAATCACAATGTGTGGAGAAGCGAGAGAAGGCTTCGGTTGGACTTACTTTCCCAAAATCGATAGTGTTATAACTTCGAAAAAGTGGTTTACTTGATTTCATCGCAGATTTGCGTTAAATTAGTTTCCTAAAGGGAATAAGGAAGACTGGGAAAAGCGAAATAATTGCCGACATTGGAAGAGAAAACCAAATATCTACAAGCATACAAAATGCAAAATATTCAGAACATAGAGAAGTTTGATCCGAAATAACGATTTGCCAGCTTCGAAACAGGCGTAGCCAATGCGAGAAAAGCCACACCAGCTCCAACAGCCGCTAATGGAGGAACTCCAAAACAAGCCAAAGTAGTAGCCAACGCTAAACTCTTAATAGCGACTGCCTGGAAGAAAAGGAACTTCAATACACAAAGGTTATATGATCACAAGAGAAACGCCCCAGATATGACTGCTCTTGGTGAAAGGTGGTCTAATTACTTGCCGTAACACTTGCCCAAGGTTGTTTGCAAACTTCTCTTATTTAATTTCTCATCGGTATGATCGTTGTCATACTTCTTAAACCAGTTTGAAATATTAAAACACAAAGAAGGAAGTTACCCGAAAAAATTATTATACCAGATTATCTTTCTTCACTTGATAACAAAACAGTGAGCGGTTTTCACACTGAACAGCACAAAGCTACAAAACCCCTAGCAAGGATGTTACAAGGATGGTCTAAATTTTGCTTGTCAAAAAAGTTGAAGCACACAACTGATATGTGACTTCTATTGTAATCCATCGAAAGACTCCATCCAAAATTTTGGCAGAAATTTCCAAAGAGCTTATTTCATAAACCCAAGGCTAATTATGTAGTACCAGCAGCCAATGATTTCGTAAAAGGAGATCCCTACCTGACCACTAATTTTATTTCCATAACGACACCACTTTACGAAGTGCTCACAGTTGTTCATTACAAGATTATAGTCGCCAGAACCAAGCTGAATATCGTAGTTAAAAGCGGATCACATATCTCGGACAACTTGCTGCTCGAAAAAAGAACTGTGACATTGGAACACATCTGTTACCCTAATTTCAAGAGCTCACATATCTCAGATAAGTTGCTGTTCGAAAAAAGAACTGCGGCATTGGGAACGACCTGTTACCATAGTTTTACGACCAAGGATAAGGATACCTTACAGCACTTACGAATCAAACTAAGGTGTCAACGAGTAAGCACCTTCAGCGTTGCTCGTTCGACAATAATACTCGGTGGAAACGGCTGATGATCCGCATCATGTGCATTGTTAACTCGCACAAGGTCCTCTCCAGCAACATCCATCAACTTATCGCATCGAACCTTCAAAGAAAGTGGATATTCCACTTTTTGCATACATATGATGTTATGACCCACAACTGGACTCATACCCAAAGTGGGAATAAACATGCTCGAACGGTTCCCCAATGTTTTCAAAAGCCACACCTCTCCCATTAGTTATACATCTCAGAAATTACTATAACTTTCCCCTGCTACATAACTGAATATGAGGAATATTTTCAATCCATGTCACACCTCATGTTTCATAATTCTATACACTTTGAATGACGCGAGCTATAAATGACTTCGATAAGAACTCACTATTTGGTAGAAACAGATATTTCTTTTTATTTGTTTTGATAAAGGAAGAAAACGATTAGGATGAAAGAAGTGCTGTAATCTGCACTGTAATGTGATATCATCTAAAAAATAATGGAAAAGAAAAACTCGGATCCACCGTATTATTAGGATATTCAGCAGCATCTACAGTTTTCAATGTAAACAGGAAACAGGGCTCCCTTTTCAAATGCGCGATAAGGGAGAAATAGTTGGTTCAAAAACGCTGTCCGCTCATCTATCTCGCTCAATAACCATCCAAAGGACCTAGTTTTGGAATAAGAAGAACCATAGAGTTGACGTGCCGGCGTCCTTTCTTCACTACTTTTTGAATACCCAGATAAGCATCAATCGTGTCCGCTTAACCACTTCAACTCTGAAACCGAATCGTTAAGCAAGACCAGTTCTTGACTCAGAATTACCAAACTGGAGCGTCCAGACTCCAATGAACCTCAATAGAGCACCGGTAACAATTCCGTTCCACAGTGTTTTACGTTCAGCTGTAGGCCCATCTTTCAGAAGGGCCATGAAAATTGACCACAATTCGTTCTGTTTAGCAAACCTTTAATGTTGTGGGGTCGATATCAACCCTTGACAGATTTGCAAACGTCCACGTATACAGTAAGGAATGAAGCTACAATCGACAATTCATTCAAACTAATTACCATTGATAGTAGAGAATCGACTGCACACATTTGCCTACACTGCTATTTTTCTGAAAACTGGAAAAAATTCCAATATACACCAGCTTGATGTATAATAACAATAAAGGACAAAGCTCTCTGCGCTGATCAACCTCTGAGGCATGCGCCATTCACTCGACTTCATTAAGCATCGTTAGATGTGATTGAATGCATATCTGGCCTTTACATTGACTCGCGGTGGCACACCGATATATCGAGTCAATGCTGCTATCCTCATAGATAAGTCTGGTACCAATTTGCCGGCCACAGAATGGAGGGTTTCATGAGCCTTGGGCGCGGAGACCGATCTCATGTGTATTGCAGGGCGCCTCTGACCACTGCGCTATAAGCGCCCACCAGGCTAATATAAAACGTATAAAGCATATAAATAAAAAATAGTATGCTTGTAAGCTCTTATTGACTTTCTATAAAGTTTTACCCCAATGGTATAAAAACGAATACGATTAAAGTATGTAATATTTTTTAATCAAGGTATTGAATTTACAATATTCAAACTTCCGCAACAGAACTTCTAACGAAATTATGTTAAAAATTACGAACCTGGGCCAAACTAGCTTTCATAAGCCCTGAAGAGGAAGGACTAAACGAAGTGAAGGACCCGCCATTTCCGTCAAACTTTTGAAAGTCACTGCCATCGCCGGATAAGTGAACAACAAGAGCTTCACCTTCCTGTCGTCCTATATACACAGCCCAGTGCTGAAAGAGTCCAGTGAAGTAACCAAGACCTATTTAAAGTTTGCGAATTGAACATCAGAAACACCATTAATTCTACATCGCTCCAAATCTTGGTAAAATACTGGTAATACCGTCAATTGCAATAATAAGCGACAAACCGCATAAATGCTTCGGGGCACACCACCGAGTTGTGCTACTCTTCTGAATTCGAGAAGATCCCCAAGCTCCACGTGTGGCGCAATCGCAGCACCAGTAGTCCATTCACTTACGAGCTGACCGACACCAAGCATAAGGAAGGTTTCTAAAAATACTTACAAAGATATCTATACTTTGTATCCTCATGTAGAGAGAGAGAGAGAGAAAGAAGGAAAAAAGGAAGAAAGAAAGACAGATAGAACAGACAACTAACAGGTACACAATCTCAAGAAATCTAACTCGTTACAATGACAAACTACAAATTTTGACTTTGCAGAAGAATTTTGAAGCAAACTTAGAACCTCCGAATTAACAAATTGGCGTTGCGGAGAACTAGGTCGAGGTAAGTCATAAGGATAAATAAGGAATAAAGTTCTCGTCGTTGATCAATCCTTGAGGGATGCGCCAAGCATTAGACTTCATTAAGCACCGTTGGAGGTGATTGAATGCATATCTGGCCTTTATAATGGCTCGTGGTGGCCTATCGATGTATCGAGTCATTGCTGCCATCCTCCCAGACAAGTCTGGCACCAATTTGCCAACTTCGAAGGGATGGAAGGTTTGGCGAGGGACGGGCACGGGGATCGATTCCATGTGTGTCGCAGGACGCCTCCGACTATTGCGCCACATGCGCCAAGGTGAGTTATACGCGAGCTATTCTTTCTCGGTCGTTTGTTCACTTGTACAGTTTTCTTGGCGCTCTTTTTTTTAACCAACTGACATTTTATCAAACACAAATGTTTTAGCGAGTGTCATCTAGAAAAGGCTTCTCTCTGCACATAAAAATATGAGAAAAATCTTTCCTCATAAGAGTTCATTCACCAGTAAGTTGACTGGTAAAAAAAGAGGATAAAGCTGTCAGCGTTGAACAATCCCTGGAAGATTCGAAATGCATTCGACTTCATTAAGCATCGTTTGGAGGTGATGGTATGCATATCTGGCCTTTACAGTGACTAGCGGTAGCCTAACTATTTATCGAGCTAGTGATGCATTACTCCTAGAGAAATCTGGTACCAACTTGCTGACCCCGGAGGGATGGAAGGTCTAGTGAGTCTGGGCCGCGAAGATCGATCCCGTGCGTTTTGCAGGGCGCCTCCGACAAATGCGACACACGCGCCCTGTGATGGACCACAGTAGCATATATTCGACAGTTCCACATATACCATGCATAGTTCTAGAACGGTAGAGCTTCTGTAACTCTATCATGTTGTCAACACCTAAAGTCACCTAATTATCGAAAAATTACCGTCCACTGCCTAAAAAACAATTCCTTAACGACATAAAATTCTACACCATGCCTTACGCCAGCCACCCAGCCATTAGATGTCGGCACCAATAGCGCCAAGCAGTAGCGCTTTAATTGTACAGTCCGTTGGTACAACCTACAGTTACAAGAAGTTGGATTGATCAATGGACGCACTTCTGCACAAATTTCACCACTCACAGTACAGGTCCTATTAATGCAGATTGGTAACAACAGAAATTTTTAGCCCAGATCGCCTCCATCATGTCAACCACATTCGAGGTGTCAACGTCAACAGTATAATCTTTTTAGTTTAGTTAGTTTTGACACCAATCTGTCATTGCTGTACCTTAGCATGACACATACCTCCCAACGGTTTACCGCCTCATCATGGCTGGCAAGTGTTCTTGGGTGTCGGGCCGCGAGTTGCAGCGGAGGGACTCATCCCCCAGTACGGCCCTCAAGCCGAGAAGAAGTCTGGCGCTTCCATCAGGAAGCCCAGCCAAGAGTAAACCAATATTAGGATCCGTCACCGCCCTCGTACCAAACTAGCTGCATGGTGGCAAATCTCCTGATCCGCACGGGCAGCGACTGCCCATGGTGGTGAGAACGTAGGGTGGACTCTAGCCTGACTGACCTCGGGACTCCAGGGAACCACAGTGGCTAAACCAACAAAACTCCGAATAAATGAGAACTATTCTGGGACCACACAACCAGTGTAGACGGCCCATCCATGTATCCAGGTAGTACAACCTATAAGCGACACTTCCATTAGCAAATGCTTATCATCAGATGAAATCTTCCGCCCATACAATTGTAATAAGTTCAACATCTCGTGTTCAGTCCATAACAAACACAAACTTCGATGGTAACCTCCAGCACGAAGGCGGTTATAGTGAAATCTTATGACTTCCTACAGCTTAAGTACCTAAGTACTGCACTTCATCTCTCATCTAAAACCATAATTCTCCGAAATTCTAAAGGTTAGGATTTTATCCTATGGGCTGTCTCCTTTTGGAATGGACTCTCATAGAGCTGGTCAAAACATCTACCATTTACATGGATCGCACAAATAGGTTCAGATCTTCCTTGAAATAGTACATGGACGATCTTTACCTTCGACAACCCACTTCAGAGAAAAGAACTAGAACTTCATTGTGACACGTCTGGCATTTTTCCGACGACAAAATATCGAATTATTGGCAACTGCCGGAATTTTCTCAATAACTCGGAAACTCTGAGAGTTTAGAACTTGATGGAAGGCACTTTCCTAGGGAATTATACATAGTTATTGTAAAAAAATCCTTTCAAATTCTAAGTTTGTTTGGAATTGAAATGAACGAAAGACTGTGAAACAAATCTGAATTAATTTAAATTTAAGCAAGCGCAGAAAACGCACAGTTCAACGATATGAAAATCTGGTTGTACAATTGCTTCTGAGCTTGAAATGAAACCTTCAATATAGAAAGTGTTCTGCAAACTCGAGAAAAAAATCGTAATTCCATAGAAATAGAAAAAAACACTTGTAACTCCCACGACCGACTCTCTATTAACCTCGGCATTGGTCAAGTAATTCTTCGTATTTTTGTTGAGCAAGTATTAAGTATTAGCAGTATTTTTGTTTTTGTTTTGAGTATTTTTTCTTTGTATTTTTGTTTGACACATTATACTTCCATGTGATTCCTGTGCGGTTGGTCTCTACGTGACATACTTAGTGGAAACCTCATAGGAAGCGGTGAGTGTGCAAAGCTGTGTTCAATGTGATTGAAATCTTGGTTTAGAGTTTCTTTGTTTGGTTATGGAGGCGTCTGGCCTGGTGGATTGCTATCAACTTAACCTTTCCAGGCTCTGAGGAAGGCGAAACCTGCCGAAACGTCAGCTTATTCGTGAATAAGGAATAATAACACCTCGCGTTTGCTCAACAAAAATACGAAAAACACTTGTATTTTAATGTCAAGTAATTTAAGATACTAACAACCCCCCTTCTCTAATAATAAAAGTTCCTCTGAGTTGAGATATATTTGTTCAACTATAAAAGACTAAGTCGTTTCTTGGACAGTATGCACTGTAACCAATGCATACGGTCGCGGGTGAGTTGAAAAGCCATTATTAGTTTTGAAACTTGGTAAACGATCTCAGTGGTTAACCAACCAGGTGCGGAACATGAGTTTTCATTCAGGAGATGAGAACTTCGATAGCAAACCTCGGGAAATATCAGTTATCGAATAAACGGACGAACTTACTAGAAGACCAAATTCAATTTAAACACTTCATTTTTCAAAGTGGTACAAACGAAAAGAAAGAAGCAAAAACAAGACATAAAAGATCCTAGTTGGATGTTACAGCTTGCTTGCTGAAGATCTCTTGGATTGTCTGCAATATAGTTGATTGCCATGCCTCTCTGCATTCATCCCATATCAGTTCAACCTAAATAATGAAGATAATCCACATGATACTAACTCACCTATGGACTACTATGTACGACTCGGTTACCTGGTTTTCATCCCCTTTCACAGGTAACACGCATATCTCTCCATGAAAAAGCTCTATGCCATCCTTAACAATTCCCTTTAACTCTCGTCTCGATGACAACATTTGTAAAAAAGTACGAAAGAATTCTTTGAAATCCTATCAGAAAGTAGAAACAAAGAACAGCTGGCAATCCATCTCACCTGCTTTTGTTGTAAATTAGTATCATGGATTGAAAGTGCCTCAGAGAGAGCCCTCCAGTCCACTGTTGACCGAGACTTCACCAACTGTGACAGTGTGATGGTATGAAGCCCTAGTTGTAGTTTGTTCGCAGCAGCTTCACAAGAAATCACTTCAAGACCACTCTATAAAAAAATGTTACAATTTGTAAAATAAACCTGGAAAGCATGAATGAGCTCCGAAAAATATCGCTTTGCTTCATGATATAGACTCAGATTTGGAAAATGAATGCATCATACCTTAGAAACATACCACTACAAACCTTGCTTAACTTAGGAAATAACGGCAGCTGGAAATGAAGCCCTATCGAGGCAAAAATAATGGCCGACCTTTACATAATGAATTTCACAACAGTATCTTACGATAAATAATCATCGCTGACACTGGTACGGTGTACAATGTTAAAATTTCTTTCATAACAGTTTTTTATTGAATATTTTTGCCTAACACTTTAACTGTAACGGATGAACAGTTGATTCGCAAAGTTTGCGTCAGACTCATTAGGACAGAGAAGGTAATGGCTGGACTCCTGCAGTTAGAGGCAATCATCTGAAGGCGATTATCGATGTCGACCAAGAAGAACCCATGGTTTATCACTTAACGATCGCTCGTCATTTCGAAAACACTTGAAAGGTGAAAGAAACACTCGATAAATGGGTAACATAGGAATCCAAGTAGTGGCAGGGAGATCGTCAGCCACGACTGTTCTGAGCTCCTTCTACACAACAAGAACAACAAAGCAAACAAAACGCTTTTCTTTCGTAGTATGGCGTCCGATGAAAAGTGAACCATATTCGGCAAAACATCACAGTATTCGCCACGGAAGTTCAATGATTCAACGATCCTACACATTCTCCAAATTTGTATCAAAAGGTGGTTGTTATGACTTTTGGTTTTTGATAGATGGAATAATCTAGTAAAACGATGATTATAGGTGTGGTACACTAAAGAAACCGATGGAATCATCTAGTAAAATATTCACAATGTTGGCAAAAAAACCATAGGAATAGAACAACAATGACACTGATATAGGAGCAAAATTTGGAACCTCTTCGAAGTCGGGATTACTATTTCCGGGGGCTCACGCGTCTACCATACCACCACCGACGCCCATGATCTGCTTTTCTCTCAGCTGGTTTCTAACCATGACGGAATTATCAGCAATCATCTGTTAACGGGAATGATCTAGAGAGCAAAAATCGCCATTGACCATAATAATGGTACTGTTATGAAATCGATGAAATCTTATAACGATCTTGTTAGAATTGTTCAACATAAGACATCCACTTTCGCTTACGTCAACACTCGACAACACATTGTTTAACTAATTGTTCGCATTCGAACGGGTTGATTACGAGACCCTCCATCAATCAAAATACACATCAGACCGTTAACTAATCGACTAATAACTTTTCGCCCATTTAGAGCCAGAGAACAACTATTTGCTGACGAAAGTCTGACAATCAACGTGCTGCTGAAAATTCCTCTGACGAATTCGTCTCTTCCAGATATCCATTATTTCATGTTGACAGAATACATGAAGTTATATTAGGCGAAAAACAAATTGTAGAATCTAACAGATTTTACTCAGGTTAATACGGCGCTTTTAAGCCAAATTACAACTTTTCAAAGTCAGGTCTAGAGTCGGTATTCGTATGACACCAACATAATAGTAACTAACAATGACACCTACCTACAGCACTAACAATCAAGACGAATACTAGACTGACCTGTTTATCCATTATGAGGCATGCCGAAAATGGGCAGGCTTTCTTTGAAGGCGTGGGATCAAGCTCAATAGATCGTTGTACAATATCGAGAGGAACATCTACTTCCAAACTAGGAGTGCCTGGGATTACAACACACTCTCCGTTTGCAGGCATCAGCACTGGAACTCGAAACTCCTGTAACCAGCAAAGCAGACAATATGTGCTGTCCGCACTCGAAACTCACCAAAAGTACAATGAACTATAGACTATAGAGTATTATACCAAACAATATAAAACAAAACAAAGCTCTCGGCAAACCTTCTCAACTTTCCCTTTGAGAAATTCCATTTTAGCCGCTTCACCATGAACAAACATAACACTGCGTGGTTGGCAGTCTCTAATTAACTGAAAGTATTTTACTGCTCTTTCAACTTTGTCTAACTTAACACTGGTATTCCTCATGGCTAACTTATCACTTGTATTACCACCTCTACTATCCAACACTAATTAACGTTAGCTGTATCGTTAGGTGGCGACTAATTTTCAGCGATGTACGCATATTTTCCAACAACTAAACTAATTAAGTAGTTCAAAACATAACACGTTATAAAATAGACATTTCTCTACTACCCCAGACGTATCCGTAATTTTCTGAAAACATTTATCTCCTAGATACTTAAAATCCACATCTTCACGCCAAAAATGAAGACCTGTGCTGGCTTGGGAGAAGCCTCACCAGTTTAATCACTTCAATTGATTTCGATGAAAAAAGCGAAATACGTGTATTTGGCTCTCTTTAAAAAAAAAAAGGAAAAAGTACAACCGCAATCTCGCCGTTATCGAATAAGAAAACTTGCAGATTGTTGGCAAAAATCTGTAAAATCCAATATTTCCTATCTTAACTGATACAGCTCAGAATAAGTTGACATACGTTTGCTTAAACGGCGCGCGCGAATATGCACAAGGATAAATTGTTTTTCTTGCCTCAGTAACAAGGAATTGCTCAGAGCATGAAGTGTTCTAAAAATGTTCTTGATAGAAGGTGAATAAATCCTTCCAAAACAACCAATAGAATTAATATTTATTGATTACAAAAACAAATGTTATAAATTATAAGAGCTTGATGAGCGCAAAATTTGGTAGAAGAAAATTGGTTAAATAACTCCCTCGTTCAGTAAACAGAACCTCTGATCTAAAGTCTAAAAAAGATTGTCATCACATATTGTCGCGATGCTCTTTTCACGTTTTCCAACTCGAACGAATTGTTGCAACTAAGAGGACATCGCCGGTCAATGAACACGCATAGTACGACTATTAAGCACACAAAAGATGTATCGCTAAAGGTTTTACACTGATCTTTTTAAACAACCGCTACGTAAAAGGTGAACTAGACCTATATTTATTACCTGCATTATCCCTTTCGCATCTGCATGCGCACTGAATGACATATATTCCACACCAAGATTTATGTCATGCTAAAAACTAGTATGTTAGTAGCTATAGGATATGGTTCGCTTAAAATGAAATGAGAAACAGGGTGATTAGTAAGATTTTCACTGACCATTTTACCTTCGATTTCGATTTTCTTCATTCCGCTGATTACCTTAGCACCAACAGTTCCAGCGACGCAGTAGCCTAAAATGAAATTATAGAGTTCAAATGAGAAACACCAATCGGTGGATTAGAACCTGGCATAATGATAATGTTCCTGGGATCATGACACCATTTCCGAAATACCTTGAGCGATTGGCCTCCATGTAACATTCCTAAAAATGGATCGAGACTATTCAAATGCGAAAGTCCACGCGAAAACAACGTGAGGGAAACCGTTTAACCTGGAGTGGAAAACAACACCATAGCGCCGGGCATCTCTTCATAACCCTTTTCGAGAGGTTTAATGTGTTTGAAATCAAACATGTTTCGCTCAACGAAAGTACGCTTGATCTTCTCGTTGGTCCAATTAATAAACAACCGATAATACTAGAAATTATAGTAAACATGTGCTTTTTGAGGCATTGAAATAACTGGGTTAAATATACAAATGAAATGAACATTGAAAAGATTGCCTAATATACCTGATTTGCTCGTTCAGCTAAACCTTGCGAGAAGTAAATAGGCACCTTTAGGTCCATTCTTTCCCAGTAAGATTCGAGAAGAATACACAATTCTTGGGCACGACCCAATGCAAAAACAGGGATTAAAACCTAAAGTGTAGAGCGAGATAGAGCATTAAATGGCTTTTTTTGTGTAAAAAGCTTCAAAAATTGTCATGTTAAGAAAAAGGGGCAATTTGCAAGGCTTCGAAACCTGTAAATTAATAACTAAAAATGCATCACCTTTCCACCTGCCATTACTCTATCGTGAACTTTCCTCAAAAAATCCCTTTCTCGTGCTCTTTTCGAATCACGGATTGTTGTAGCATAGGTTGATTCAGAAATAAGACAATTTGGGCGAAGTCCTGGTAGTACTCTAGCTGCCCCCAGATGTCTATCTGGCGTCATATTGTAGTCACCTTTAAGTAAATTTTCAACCGTTTTCAAATAGCGTAGTTCATGAAAAAATAATTGAATGACAAATAAATCTTATAGATCTATACCGCAAACAGCGTTAATTGCGCGAGAATGGACCTTTCAGTGCACATTGCACAAACGAACAATAGAACACCTGTGCTTGCTGTCGTGTGTCAGAGGTGATTATTCGACTCCGCCCCTCGAGAAACACAAGGATGTATACAATCCTAATTAGTGCCTTTCTTTCTACTATTCATTGAAGAAGATTAACTAAGAGTGGATTGTCTAATTTTCCTGCAACATAAATCCAAACTTAGCTTATATTTCGCAAAAAATTTTCTGGAAGTGGCCACGAGGAAAAGCTAGACGCGAAGATTTAACATCGCCAGAATTAAGCTAATCAACTGAAGGCGGAATCCAATTGATGGCACAAATGATTTCTTGACGTTGAGGTGACAGAATATGGACGTATAGCATTTACTTGGATACCTGGATAGCTCGTTTCCAATGGTTGTGCAGGCCCCAGCATAATTTCCACTTTTTCGGAATCTTGCTGGTTTACCTTATGTGGCCTCCTTGGAGTCCAGAGGTCAGCCAGACTAAAGTCTGCCCCAGTCTACCACCACAGGCAGTCGCCGCCTTTGCCACTAATCGACTAATTTGATACCAGAGCGGTAGTGGATCCTTGATATTGGTTTACTCTTAACAAGGCTTCCAGATGGAAATACCAGACTTTTTCTCGGCTCGGGAGACCCTGTGAGGGAGATGAATCCCCCCCGCTGTAGATCGCAGCCCAACACCCAGGAACACTTCCCAGCCATGATGAGGTTGGTGGGAGAAGTGTTTATATTACCCATCATGAACATATGACATCAGTTATGAATACCAGATTGGAAAATAATACGTGTCTGTAGTACTTACCTGTATATAAAATGCTTTGATGACCAACACGGATCTCGAACATTGCCGCACCTAACACATGACCAGCATAGAATGCACGTATAGACAGTTCATTATCAACCTGGACCGTCTCATGAAGATCAATCGCTATCACCTAGACATCATTCACAAAGGCTGCAAATTATTTGGAATTTTAGATGAATTTCTGCAAATGTAATAATAAAAAGCCTTTGCAGAGAAAGTTTCCACGGATCTGCCTCATATGAGGGATCTCGAGCCGGTCAGTCGCGAGGTTACGTGACGCGTTCCCGGGTGGCGGATAGGTGGTCATTCGCGGACCAAGAGCGACCATTGCCTCGCTGAGACGCAGGTGGATCCAGGGAATGGACTCCCTGTTTCTGCTATGGTGATTTGGTACATACTTTCTATATTTGCTAGGCGTATTCATGCATGCGTCTGTGGGTGCGTTCATGCTTATGCGGATTGTATTCCACGAGTTAATTCGGCCAAAAGCCTGCAATCAAGTGACTGGGAAGTATATGGGAGGCGGTTAGGAGTCGCCTTCAACAAATAAGCTCCATGCCCACTCTGGGAGAGCCTGACAAGCTACCCGTTAATATACTCAGCACCCATGTTCAGCGTCCAGTAAGCTATACGTGAGTATCAAAAACGCTAAATACAGTAAAAAAAAAAAACGGGCCTCATTCCCCTGACTCCGAGAGAGCCCCTAATTCGCAGCGTTGGGTAGGACGAGTACGGAGAGGCTGCTAAAATCTCAGGGCCAATGGAAGCTGCCTGGATCACGAAAAACTAAGGTGACGATCTGTACCTACAAAGCACGTATACTTGCATCCGAGTCCTCGATAGAAGACTTGTTTATGCAAGCAAAAATGATAAAGTACAACGTCATCGGCTTGGCCGAGACGAGGAGACGCCAGCCTTTCAACGTCGTCTATGACACCTGAGAAGAACTGTCCCTCCGAACATGCGACAGTAGAGGAGTCGGCGGCGTCGGCGTTCCCGTCAACACGAGTTTGTCCATGAACATCGATTCATTCAAATAACCTACAACCCAAATCGGACGTTTACGATTAAAAAGACGTGGATCAATTCCGGCTTTGACAATCATCGTTTGCGGGCCAACATCTATCCAACATCAAACTATGACGAAGAAGAAGTCGAAGCGTTCTATATGGACTTGGAGAAGTCCTACAAAGAAGATCACACATTCTTCAAGGTCGTCATTGGAGATTTTAACGCCAAGATTGGACCAAGAAGAACGTCATATTGGGAGCCACGGATTAGAATGGAACGAACAGAGTGAGCGAATGTCTGAGTTTATCACGGCGACCAAGACAATCCATGATAACTCGCAATTCCATAAGCCCCACCCTCAGCGCTGGACGTGGGAATCTCCCAATGGAGAGTACCATAACGAAATAGGCCACATCATAGCAAACAGAAGGTTTCACCTAACCGACGTCCCTGTTGTCCCAAAATTCTAAACGGGATCAGACCATCGCCTCCATCGCGCAAGATTCCATTTCTCGCGGAAAGAAGAAAAAGCCGATAGATTCAAAAACCGAAGTCCCAGAACCACCATAAACTGGGACTTATTCACTTTATTAGTCGGCTGTTGGGAAGACGCCGTTTTCGATAACATCGACGAAGAATACGATCGGTTCATTCAACATTTTCACGTTAACGCTATGAAGACTGAGAGTTCGAAAGTGACCAAGAGGCGTTTGTCTCCAGAAACACTCTAGCTGACACGTCAGCGTGGAATCGCACAAGCTGCAGGCAACCGCGAACTAACATTCGAACTTGCAAAACAATGCAGAGAGGCGATAAAAGAAGATCTTAAAGAGAGAAGAGCACCAGTAACGGTAGAAGCTGCAGAGGCTGGGAAAAGCATTCACAGAGCCCACCGAAGCTTCGCCAATTACAAGACTAAAATGAATGCACTCCGGCGCCCAGACGGAACAGTTAGAAACTTTCCACTCAAGTCATCCTAAACAGTGTTGACAGAACACTAGACGAAGGACAGCCATTTGAACAAGCAAAGTTTCGAGGAGGATTTAGTACGATGGACCACATCCACACGGTAACAAGGCTCATTGAAGTATCGCGAGAGTACAAAAGACCGCTCTGTCTCACTTTCATCGATTTACAGAAGGTCTTTGATTCAGTTGAGATAGAAGCAGTCTTGGAAGCCCTTGATAGTCAAAGAGTCCCTACTTAGCAGACAAAGATTCTTCGTGAGCTTTACAAAAATTTCACAACCATAGTATCACCATTCTACAAAGATATTAACATTGACATCAAAAGAGGAGTTAGGCAAGGCGATACCGTTTCGCCAAAATTATTTACCGCCACATTCCAGAACGTCATGAGAACACTGGAATGGGATAATATGGGAGTGAAAATCGATGGTCGGCAGTTACACCATCTTCGCTTTGCTGATTACATCGTCCTTAAAACATCAAACATTAGCCAAGCGGAACGTATGATTGACGACTCTGATAAAGCCTGTGGAAAGATTGGTCTTCGACTAAACCTCGGAAAAACGATGTTCATGAAGAACGGATTGGTTTCGCATACTCCATTCAGGCCCAACGGAACGAATATCTCCGAATGCTCCAGTTATATGTTTTCTTCAATAAGCAGACACGCTCTAGTTATATTTATTTAGGTCTGGAAATCAATATTATCAACGACCTAGTTCCAAAGCTGAGCAGAAAGAAATGAGCGACTTGGGGAGCCTTGAAGAGCATCGAGGATGTAGTGAAGAGAACAAAGAACACCCAACTCCGTGCCCTAGCGTTGTCATCTAATACGCCGTGGTTCGACACTTCTCTATACCAACCAGATCTCCGACATACCTGGAAGATTCCCTGTAGTCCAAAAGATCTAGGAACGTCCGGACACAGTTATCCCAGGATCGGCTTTCGGACAAGGAGAGTAGACTCGACCTACATTAAACCATTGTCACAAAGAGGTTAAGAAATCCTCAAGCAGTAGTCGAACCGTCGCACAAAAGTGAAAGGCTTAGTGAAATATGGATACGAACAAATATTGAATAGAAGATGTTGCGACCTCTCAATATATGTCAAAGACGGGCTACGTTAGAAAAGATGCATTACTTTAAAGAAGGTCGTCGTGAGGCAATGCGACACGTTTCCATACAACGGATATAAACAGTACAGGGAACATCAGTGAAAAAGCATGTGAATCCATCACTGCCAAACCAGATAAAGTAATACCTCCAGCACACACTTTCAACACACTGCGTGCGCCGAGATATATATATATATATGTATATACATATATACGTACACATATATGTACATGTGCATGTATATATACACGTAGATGTATGCATATACATATATATATACATATGTTGATGTCGATGTGTGGTTATTCGGCCAACAACTTGCAATCAAGTCACAAGTAACCTATAATCTAAGCGAAACCATTCGTGGTTAAATCAAAAACTAAACCTCATTTCTGTTCCAACAGAATTTATTAAGTTATTCCTCATTATATCCAGTCCTCAGCAATACCCATAGGTAACCTGTGCGCACCTTCTATGGAACTAAAAAATGCCGTCATAGTAATACTGTTGTGATGAATATACTCCTTGAGCGAGTTAAGTGCTTAGGACAGTTTTAATGTGCGATTGAAGTGGAAGGAGACTTTCCGGTGTGCGTTTGAGCGCCGTCATGAGTAGTGAGAGCACGGAGGTCACGGGATCATCCCGCATGACGGAAAGTATCCACATCGTGAAATTTCTAAAGTAACACGTAAAATATGTGCACTAAGATGTTTTTCAGTAGTTCAAATCAAAAATTTCGACAGTATTCTACTTTTTCATTTTATTGCTCGCTTCCGTCCACTGTAATGGTTAGAAAGCTATAGGCATGTGTGCTGCGAGGGCGCCATTCTACTACGTTAATGTAGGTTCAAAATAAACCTTTGTATTAATTCCTAAGAAACAAAAAAAGGGTACCCGGTAGCACAGTGATAATCGCCCCGTTCATTACGCAGAAGGTGAACACTACGCAGTCGCTGGCTCGAGCTCGAATCAGACCCACTACGCCTCTCATCCGAGGTGAAAAAATTGGCGCTAGATTTGTCTGGGAACTGTTCGTTCCTTCAAATCCAGGTGAGAATGCTCTAGAACGAGCACACTAAAACTCGAGAGAAAAATTACTTGATCAGTATCTAACGACATTCATGACCAAGACGAAAACAATCAAGGAGCAACCGAACGTACAAGAAAAAAGAAATCTGAAGAGCCTCCTTGAGAGCTGAATGCGAGGAAACAATCAAATGGAAGAAGTGCAAAGATCCGCACAATGTCATACAGCTGATGTTGTGTCATGTGGTAACAAAAAACAAAAAGGATCGAGAATTTAGGACGGCCTCCGTGAGTTCCTTAACATGAATTTATGACATTACTATAGAAAATGTCTTGAAATATACCTTTTTCATGGACGCCTTTATATTCGCTGAGGTAAAGAAGCTCGTATCTCCTCGGAACTCAGTTTGAACCTTACGATAGTCTTCCTAGACGGGTTCATAGAAAAAATTTAAGAAACAAAAATCATTTACAAAACGATAAGAAAGCCAAAAGATGGTTAAATGCAGAGCGAGATAACACCGTATTAGTTGTTTTAGCCAGGAACCACGGTGACACCGTTTCATATCGTACAATCTTTTTGTCAATGTTTGGCAAACTTAGAATAATGCTGTCGATACTGTGCATATAATCAGAGCAAATGAATGTTCCTAGAGCACATAAAGCTTGGTGCTGGTTCTTCGAGAATTAACAACTATTTATCAAAGATTACTCGACAAGAAGAGCGAGGAAATCCATAGAGCTATAGAACAGAAATTAGGCTACCGCTCTAAGGTCAGAGTAGATCAGAATCAAAATTTTAAACAAACTGAGAAGGAAAATTAAATTTCAAAAATTTCTACCGCGAGCGAATCTGTCATGAACAATAACGACACATTGGGTAACACCATAATCGTGCTGTGCAGAACAAAGCTCTACACGGTTAATTCCTCGCTCGGTGCTCAAAAGACTAGTTTTACAAAAGAAGGAAAACTTGCGCCATACACGTTTGTTTGAACTTAAATGTCAATCATCAATGCATTACAGTGCAATCTTTTTCATTAAAACTCACAAGTAGTACAGGTGCAATAGCCTTCGTTGGATAAGTCATATAGATCGGCCCATCATATCCAACAATCTCACTCATATGTGGCAGAGAACCGCAGTGATCCAGATGAAAGTGAGATATAATCACGCAACTAAGGTAGTCATTCAACTTCCCGCTTCCACTTATGTATCTGAACAGAACATTTTACGAAAGATAAAACACTAGAAGGAAGAAAATTCTCGAACCACAATCTCAATCACAAAAAAATCAAATCATGTTGCTCCGGAACTCACGAGAAGTCTGGGAACCGGCGTTCATCCTGGTATCCCATGTGCATACCGCAATCAAGCATCACGTTTTTACCACCGATCGTCACCAGAATACAAGATCGACCAACATCCTGGCCAGCTCCGAGGGGTACTATCTATGTCAACACATCAAAGTATAACGTAACAAATCTCAATGAAGTACATGTGGTATGAGAATTGAACTGGAGAATCGCGAAGAAAAACATGCAAAAGATAAAAGTTAGGGAAACGGCTCACCTTGATATCGGTCATTTGCTCAGATTCACTATAGCTAAACTGACGTTAAGATCTTCTTCAGACTCAAAAATCGGAATACCAAAACTCAAAAGCTCCTCGAAAACCCAGACTTCTGGACCATCGACACAGGTAACATCGAAACAGATATCTTCAACAAAGAGGAAGTACGAATAGGAGAAATCTGTCACAACCAAAAGCGTATGTAGATAAATTACAGTTCCTCTGCACTGTTTGCTAAGATATCAAGGTAAATTTACCAAGTCATGAAGGAAAATTTAGATGCTATAAACCAACTGTTTTATTAAAGATGCACCCAAAAACTGATCAATGAGCAAGCAGTACAACAACAACTGACTGATTAACAGGCACCATAGTGTTCATAAAAAAAGCTTACAAAAATGAGATCTAAAAAAAATAAAGCGTAATGTTAAGAATAAAAAGTTGAGAAGGTGAGAACGCTAAAGAAAGAAGTTATTACACATGATGAAAAGAGGAACGGTGCAGTGAAATTAATTATTCTTTGGTGTAGCTTTAAGTTCTTTTCTTCTTCTCACTCCAGGCGACATTTGTAGATCCAGAATCCTCTTATACTCGTCGCGCTTCAGCAACGTATAAGCGGTAGACAGAATACGGTACGCCAGCTTATCGAGTGAATCGTGGTTTGCCAGAAATAACCAATAACCTAACTCCAACCCCATTCCGAAATCACACTCATCATTCGCCATCTAAAAAGGATATTGCAGCTATTCGGCATTACGGTTAATAAGTGATCACTTTCTTAATAATCAATACAGACACGCAAATATAAGTAAGAAAGACTGCGACAAAGTATTCAAAACACTATCACCAAATTATCTCTGTGCCACTGGCCCATCATGCCTTCTATCTCTACAGAGTCGGCAAAATGGCACCAGACTTATCTGGGAGGACAGCGACACCGGCTCCATATATCGGTGGGCCAAAGCGAGTCATTGTAAGGGCCAGAGATGCATTCAATCACCTCCAAACGATGCTTAATGAAGTCGAATACATGGCGCATCCTCTAAGGATTGATCAACGCCAATAGCTTTATCTCTTATCCTTCATCACCAAATGGTTCCAATACGATTAGAATGACACGCATACCTGCACATAAGCAACGATCTCCATAATCCATTTCGTTGCTGATTGACGCTTCGAATCTTCATCTGCACTGCAGATTTGCTCCAGCATTTTTTTAATCTTCACTGAAGGCAATTCGTTCAAAAAGGAATCTTCCAACAAAAAAAAAACAATTCGAAATGTTTTAAAAGTGCTGCCTGTTCTCACAGAAGTTTTGATGTAGGGTTCAGTTACAATGCTACCCACCACGAAACTAATGGAAATTTCTCCTGCACAACTACTCGTTGAATGTAACCTAGTGAATGACAGTGCTACCTTGTTTACAAAACATTCGATATCAATTCACAGATTTCGGAGGAATAAACGACTCAGTTCATCTGAATCCCATGACCGAACCAGTTGTCTCACACCACCTCATTGCACTCTGTTATAATTAACATGCTATGCTAATAATATAGTAAAAGTATAAAAGAAAAAAGCTCACGGCGTTGATCGACCTCTTAGGAATGCGCCATGCATTCGACTACATTAAGCACCGTTGGAGGTGACTGAATGGCATATCTGGCCTTTAGGATGACTCGCGACGGCTACTGATGAATCGAGCCAGTTCAGCTATCCGCTCAGACAAGTCTGGTACCAATTTGCGACCCCGGAGAGATGGAAGGCTTGGTGAGCCTGAGGCGCGTGGATCGATCCCATGTGTATTGCAGGGTGTCTTGAAACACTGCGCTACATACGCCCTAGTAATATAGTATAATAATATAGTATACACTATAATAGCAAAAAACTCACTTGGGTTTTCAGATATAGGACGATATCCAACATCGCTGACAATTTGCACCCACAATCCTGCACCATTTGGAGCTTCTCCTAACTAAAACTGTGAAAATATTAACAACAAGTGTAAAACAACAAAAGTAAAGATGTTCCACGGATTCTAAAAATGTTTACACATAATATGAAATTCTACGGTAGGCAAGCAGTAGAGAAGAACAAAACTACGAAAGCCCGTAAGTCAAATGCCGTTTACACTATGACAAAGACGAATTAAAAATAATTAGACGGAAAAATGTAGGTAATTTATTTTAACAATTTGTAACAAAACAATTACATTACATCCCAGTAACAGAATATTCACTGAAAGGAGTGCTGATTCAGAGATATTTTTACTCAACTTCCAAAAATGTGCTTATTTTGAAAAGTACTTCAGCCATCTTCAAAGCCAGAAGGGCCTGGAGTAGTAAAGAAATGTTCCAATGCATGGACGGTGCTTCATTGGTGCGATACTGCTCACTACTCGATCCAACTGGATGCGGCGATGAAAAATAGCAACCGATATGGATTCTCGACTCGAATCTTGGCTCTAAAGAAGATGAAACAGCCGAAGTTAGGCATGATAAGGATTTGCTACAACCTCGCACACGCTTATCAATAACCCGGAACGCTGATTATGCCGAGATTCTATGAAAGTCGGAGCCGAAAATTTGCTTTGCTATATGCCAGTTAATAGTTACTGCTGCAATAGTGACTGTCGCCATGTAGATAAAGAAATCCGGTTGGAAGTCGATGATGTATCGTCCTGTATATGCCGAGTATAGCGGAATTGCCGAGTGAAGTCAGATCACTTCATGGCGGTTACAATCCGGTGTAGAAAAACTGCTGGATAACGCTAATTTATTCGTACATTACTCCACTCGGTTCGACTCGATACGACAACGATAAAGACCGACGTCCCAAGAAGACAGCCATAATAAGAACTCGTAGCAATCTCATTTAAGTTTATCAATAAACCAGAAAATTGATAAATCATGCTCATTTTCAATGAAGAGTGGAATTGAAAGTTTAGTTACAACTGTTTCTCGGAAGCTTCTTTAGCACCGAAACTCTTGTTGGTGAGAAGAGCACACACTATACAGAATATAGCCGATGGGGAAGGCACACATGGGTCTTCGTTCACTTGAATAATAATTCCAGATCAACACTTAAGGACATGTTTTCGTTATGATAAGATGGTGAATAATAGAACTTTTGCAGGTATAATTGCAGCATAGTTATCGTCTCCGCCATCTAAACTAGTTTGCGATGGAACCAGGATCTTTTTCTGATAGAATTTTAAACCAAAAACTCCATATTTGCTGTAGATTGTAGTGGAGGTTATGACATAAAATAAACATAAGCAACTGGTGCTGTATTAAACTCAAAACATTTCTTGAAAACATATGTTAACGTGGCTTCGAATTAAGTAGTAATTGATCAAGTATAAAAGGCCATTGGATTGTTCATTTCAAACTCATAATTCCAAATCGATGTAAAACAAAATACAACTAAGGAGATGCATAACTTGCACAAGAATCCTAGCTTATTTAAAACAATGGCGCTTAAAGAATTAAAGTAAGAAAGGCTGCCATGAAAGCACTTTAATGTCATGAAACTTAAACATACCTTTCTCTTCTTGCGTTCAGCACACACTGTTTTCATTTGTTTCCTGACGCCGTTGATAGGAGTCGGAAGAAATTTTTCAACGGGCTTCTTCACTTTTTCACCCAAGTGCAGAATAGCATGTTCCATACGATTTCCCACAAGCTAAAACAACTATGCATGAAGGAGAAGAGATGGGATCTTTATGAGCGAAAATGAACAAGGACTTAAAAAGAGACGGACCTCGATTTTCGGAAATCTGCTGTCATTTGGCACATAGAGAATGAAACATTCTTCTCCATTTGGAATATCTCTATAAACAATATGCAAAGGCTCTTGCAAATGTTACATGTGACAAAGTAGAACATCACCTCCACAAGCAGTATCTACCAATCTGGCACAACAGAACCGTTTGCATCTCGGGTAAGTCGGTCGCATGGCGACAGTGGAGAAATCGCTGTTCTTCTTACATAAAAAACAAATATGCATTACAAACGAACAGACCGAGATTTCTGACAAGTTCAAGCAACCTGACAGGCCAGAGAAATCCCCACAGAGGAAGTCGAACAACCCAACAAGTCGAGCCGACGCGAGTTCTTCGAAAGCTGCTGTAATAATACACAGATATTTGGTTCAGCATAAAATCCCATAAAAGTTTTTTCTGAATGAAAATTTCACGAGTCACTTCTTAATGAATGGAAGCATGGCAAAACAACTTGTCATAAAACTAAGTATATGAAACCTAAAATTTTCAAGACAGGAAAGTAATTCGCGATAGCAGCTTCTGGGGTATGGAGCTATCGACATAAATTATACTGAGTGGCATTAAACAGGGATAATAAGGTTTTACGTTTTCTAACTTTTCTTTTTAGGTTTTTAGGGTTAGGAACCTCCTTCTACTGATAAGCTAACACGAGTTAGTTGCCAACATTTATTCAACCAACGCTTGTACGTTTTCTCTTCCTCAGAGCCAATGAGAGATATTTGTTTCACTAAGAAATTCTTAGAAGAGGTTAGCAAACGCAACACGGTCAGCTATTTTTCTTACAAATTAAGCAAGCCATTAAGTGAGCATTACAAGGGGTTGAGTGCGAAAGTAGCGCCTACACGACAAGAGGCAACAGTGATCACCTAAATAGAGTTAACAAATAAAATCTAACTTTACCATACAAGATTTAAGTAAAACCTATGAGATACTCATGCAACTCATTACATTGAATACAGGGCCACTTGTAACCTAGTGCGACTTTTTTGTAATAAACAATGCGTCTATAAGCAACTTGCTTGGACGGAGATTGTATCTCACGGGAGAATGGATCCCTTAATAATTTTATCTCATAAGCAAATAAATCCCTTAATAAGTCTGATGCTCGATTTCAGTAACATGCACTTCGTGGGTCACTTAGTTTCATACCCAAGTATTGTAGATTTAAATCAATTCGTGTCGTCATTTTCCCCGTCAACTTCCTCTACACATGGCATCATCATTAGCAACTGTTACTGTGCTACTCTATTAAAACAAAAGTAATTAATCGCCGCGGAACACACAGACATCTTACTAACACCTAATCTGCGATGTTCCCGCTAGCATTATGCTCTACTTACTAGCAGGAAGGTCACTGGCTTGATTAAAAAGTTGTGGAAACTCGTTCTTTATATAACACTAATTATATAGGTGAGCGTAGGGCAATTGTTTCAGGTACCCTGCAATATAGTGGTGTTCATCGTCTTCTCCCTGCGCCCTTGGTTCACCAAGCCTTCTATCTCTTAGAGGTCGGTAAACCTGTAGCCGACTAGTCCAAGAGCAAGACAGGACTGATTTAATACATCGGAATGCCATCGCGAGTCATTGTATAAACCATGCATACACTCAATCATCACCAACGATAGCTCAAAAGACCGACTTTCTATAACCCTCGACAGAGATAGTTAATATATTTATTTCTATGGTCTTATAAACTGATCTTCTTTAGCTGATGCGAGGTTGGTATAGGTCTACGAGTGGTACTCTCATAACATCACGGCTCTGGGGAAGGCGAAATCGCCGAAACGTCAGTCATCGACCAACAACACCAACAACAACGACAACGAAGACCTATACCAACCTCGCATCAGCTAAAGAAGATCAGTTTATAAGATCATATAAATAAATACATCACCAACGATGTTTGATGAAGTCAATAGATGGTGCGCCTCTTCGGGAATGGTAGCGGCCGACAGCTTTTCCATATAATTGTAGAGAATATCTTAAATGTGACGACATTTGACGCAACATCTGTGCTGGAAAAGGCATTGAGTAAACGCATGTAGTACACCAAAAGGAACCACTTATAAAAGTTTGGGAAGACCGCAAAACCAAGGGATGAGAAGAAGAAATTACATCAATTCACGCTGAACGGTGCTAACACGTACGCGAACAAGGGTAATTTTCTTTGACGAGTACGTCTAACTTCCGATGTTCGCAGTATGCAGTGAACTCAATGCAAGCGTTGGGCTTTGCTTAACTCGTCAAAAATAACGAAAATAAGAAATTAAAAAACGCAAACTTCTTGTGTTGTTCCCATCATCTTTATCGATTTTTATGTTCTCCACATCCTTTGGGTTTTTCGCTTATACCACCACATTTCTGGCACACATCGAACTCTTGTGTATGGTTAAGAAGCTTGTTCACCATTCAACCATATTGTTCCCATTATATTTGTTGAGTCCACATGGTAGCCATGGTTGATCACAGTCATTGGAAATTTAGAAAGAAAACAGCGAGCTAGTGGCCAAAGCCGAATTTCATAGGTATAAGTGATGGTTAAACACGAACTGAGCTCCAAACTCCAGTTTCCGCTGCCTGTTCATTTAGCGTGAACAAAAATACCCTGAAATACCGAAGAAAATAAGGAACCTCGTGTAGTCCCAGTCGAAAACTCAAAAGTGTTAATCGGAAAATGAGGACGAAAGTGACGATGATCAGGCAGTTGAAGATGGTGGTGCAAGTAGATAGTGGTCAAAAATGTGCCTCATGACTGCCGAATTTTCGCTTAGTAGGCAATTTGAGAAGAATCAATTGCTCCTGCTTGGACTCCGGCAGCCAATATGTTTTCACTAACTGCTCTCAGCCTACACGTGAGGACATTTCTATTTGGAAGAACACCTTTATTTGAAAAAAGACATAAGGATTAATTGTTCTCTACCTTCAAATGACAGTTGTTAAAGAACCAAAATTGGATTACTGAAGCACTTATTCCTCGCAACGGCTTACCGCCTCATCGTGGCTGGGAAGTGCTCCTGGGTGACAGTCTAGAATGTACAGTAAGGAATTCATGTTCTCAGAAAGGTCTCCCAAACTGAGGAGTCTTGCATTTCCATCAGGAACTTCAGTTAAGAGTAAACCAATACCAGGATCTACCACTGTCCTGGTATCAAACTGGTCGCATGGTGACAAATTTCCTTCTGGTCCACAAAGGGGGCCACTGCCCGTGGTGGTGACGACCGGGGCAGACTTTGGCTAAGCTGAGCTCGGCCTCCAGGGAACCACAATGGATAAACCAGCAAAACTCCGAAACAGTGGAAACTATGCTAGGGCCCGCACAACCAGTGAAGACAGGATATCTAAGTGTCCAAGTAACCAAGGAAGAAAATCTAATCCTAATATGTCCCAAGTAATGAAGAGGGTTAAACTTTGAAGACTACTCGCTCATATCCATTCTTTCAGTGCAATGTACGATGGACGAAACGTGTTGTTCGAGAACCAACCACATATTAACCTTATCAAAAACAGTTACAATGCGCTGGCATTTATGGTGCGGACATTGTGTGCACGATCAATGTTGGATAAGCTAGCGAGTGAATATAAATAGCAAAGACCAAAATTTCTCCGACGTAGAAGAAGCAGCGGAAAAACATGCATTGAAGCTAATACGCCGCGACCGTTCATGCATTGAGATCACTGACCATAAAATTTCTCACATAGGCAAATAAACTTCGTTTTTAACATCTAAGGCAACTCAAACCTACCACATGGGTCAGAACGACAGATATTTTGAGCGTGTACATAAAAATCCGTTAGACACTTCGGCACTCCGTCAACAAGGCCTTCCTGGACATCGTTAGCTCTAAAGACTATACTTTGTCTTTAAAAAAGAACCTTCGTCCAGTACAAAAGTTAAAGGCATCTGGAAAGTCTCGACCCCTCTTTACTTCTAAATTTTAACTCCTTCTGTTTGGAGGAATCTGTTGGAGAAAGAACGCATTCTACATACCGCAGTCTTCGCCTTCCAGACTCATTAACAATTATCCAGCGTCTTCAATATTTTCATTCCAATCACATGATGAGGCGGTAAACTGTTAGGAGCAAAAAAAAGATATTGGGATGAAAATTTGCTCCTACGACTGGTCTGTGTAGAATGCATATACTTCTTGAGATACAAAGAAGATGCTCGTTCACAGAAAACACTTTGACTGTAATCTGTTCATCAATAGTACCTTATAAGGCAAAAAAAGTCACGGTAATATGTGTCATCAGAAGCCCTGTCAATCACCAAATGACTCAACAAGACAGCAATAAACTTAGAAACTGACCTTGTCGTGCATTAAGGTTGAATAGACAGCCACATTTGCTTGAGGGAATAGAGTAGGATTTAGACTCTTGTGGGCTATTCCCTAGCCATTTTTTTAAAAACATGAAATTTACGGATAGCTCGTTGAGTTATTACGAAGTAGAATTGAGGTACATGCGATGGAGTTGACCCTTAATTCTATGTAGCACAGACAAGGAGGGCACCACCCTATAAATCCATGCGCGTTCAAGGGTTCGCCCAACGTTAAAACAGAAATTTGAAAATATTGCCTAAATTTGCTCAAAGCAAAAGGAAGCAAACAAACAGTACAATAAGCCCTAACCGACATATCGTCTCACGTCCGTCTTGAGAACATTTCCTTCGCTTATCCTGCGAACTAACGATGTTTTCAAATACCTCAGAGTCACCACTCTGAAACACGTGACTAAGTAAACTGATGTGAAAAAGACTAGACGTTAACAGTAATAAGTTTCCTTGAAAATCAGTGCAGATCTCGCTCTTTCGGTCTCTGTATCCTATCAAATAAAGTTTTCGCCTTTAGATTCATTTTGCATGTCACTTTAAGATCGAGAGTTTTTTTTCGATATTTTCACAATGTTTACTGCCGCGCTGCAGTGGATAACGCAAGCACTCGATAGCGACGAGAAAGGCATACGTATTGTTGGAAATTTCCTTTGAAATATTCGCTTCGCGGACGACATCTTCGAGGAGTACAGTGCGAAGGTGAGTAACTCGAACCGGATGGTTCCTTGATTACAGAAACCACCTCATACGTGTATCTTGAACGTCCAATGAACACGAAGAACGAGATGAAGTAGGAATTAGACGGAATAAGGAGAGCAGTATGGACTACATCCAGGCCACTCTAGAAGCCACCGACCAGCTAACGGATCCAAGCTTTCACGCTTACCTCTCCAATTAGGTACTCCTCCTTCGATTGTTATGGAGCAGAGACATAAGCTGATACTTCAACCACGCCAAGAAATCTGCGCACCACCCACAGAACACACGAACGATCTCTTCTGAAATTTAATCGACAGTCACAACGTATGGCCAGAATGTGTAGCTCAAACCTTCGAAATCTATTCCATCCTCGGGATTCGTGAAAATATAGAACAATACCGAAACACAGAAGGACCGGTCACGTAATAAGAAGAACAGATGATAGATAGACGAAAAGAATGGTGAAACAGACTCCATAAGACTGCAAGCATCCTCTTGGAAAATCATCCAAACTATGGTCGATCGTGTTCGTGGCTAACGTCAACTGTCTACATTCGTTGATGGCAACGATTTCAGAATTACGGAAACAGCTTCGCGGACGTCACTTTGCTCGAAGCAGACCACCACCATGGACGACGACTGCGCGAGAAAGAAACGCGAGAAATTTGCTGAGGCACACACAACCAGTGAAAACGGGTCATCCAAGTATCTAAGTACGTAATAAGTACGTCAGGCATGTGGGAAACACTGAACGGTATTTCTGCGTAATAAAGCCTGAAGCTATCTCGAGTTTATCAAGTAATTGAAGAAATCACAGTAAATACAGTTATTCACGTAAGATATGTGTATTTGAGCTTAAAGCGTAAAATTTCCAACGCACTGTATGGAACATTTTACAAAGCGCAGATAAGAAAGGTTCATATGCTTTGAAAATTCAGTTTGCCATCGCCAAATTTTTTAACACTTGGGAGCAAATAAAAGCCGGAAGACAAGAGGTAATCACGGACAGAAGCCGCTGTTTTGTAGGTCGTGGTGCTCATAATGAAAGAAGAACAATTACTTACAAGTTTTTCCCGATGCCTCTTTGTAGAGGCTTTAGACGAAGTTCTCAAGCTCATTTTCACAAATGCAGTTAGTTCGGAGCCTGAAGTTCCAAATGACATATTCCAAATGACATATGAAAACGATACGATCTGAGAAGAAACTGATAACAAAGCAGTTAAAGAACTGTAAAGAGAAAACTAAAGAATTAGATGAATACTTTTTAATATTTATAGCTTGAGACATACAATCATCAAAACATTAAGGTCAAGGTAATCAAGCAGTGCGTATAATTTGGCACAAATACGAACAACATTTGAGCAAAGCACTATCATTACATGGTAGCGTTTTCCAGTTATTTGACTAAAACGACAATGGAATGGAATTAAAAACTGTATCAACAGAAAATAACCAATCCAGATAAACCATATCATTTATCTATAACAGCATCATGAAGGTTTTGACGACGTTTCTCGCTGTGCCTAAATATTGACACTGAAAGTAGATAGGGAGTAACATAACTAAATAAAACTCACATTTTGGGAGCGATATGGATCAAAAGGACTTGGCAGTTGGAGGCCAGACTTTGCCTCAAAGAATGTATAACTTAGCAGAATGTTATCCAGATTTTCTAGTGCCGGATCATTAGCATAGTCAGGATCAATATAAAAGAAAACAGGCAGGTCAACCTAAAGATAAAAACGAAGTGAATAAAGATATCGGATAGGAATAGAATACAAACAGCCTACTTGTTCTCCTGGATTGAGAATTTGTTCCTCAAAGCAAAAGCATTGGATTTTATTGAAATAATAAGCAGCTTGAAATGGTGTAAGGTTATAGCTGGATATACCAATAATTGGACGATCCGTAGGATTTTTGGCGGTGTAAAAAGCTAGAGCAGTCTCCCCTGGATGTACGTACATCTAGAAAAGGGATGTAATTAGAAAGACGAGTCTCTCGAGTTATTTTAAGTTCCAAGTCAAGAAGGCAAGTAACAGTATACATTACGAAATTGTTCTAGCACTTCGTAAAAATGGCATATCCATTTGTCAGCAAAGACTGACGTCCAGCAACTGAATCTCAAAAAATGAGGAGTTAGACATTTCCAACCAAAGAACTGAACCAGTGTCACTAATCATTGCCATCCTGACAAGAAAAGAGTAACTAATTCATGAATAGACGGGCGCGTGTGGAGCAGTGGTTGGAGGCGCTACTGCGACACACACGTGGGATCGATCCCCACGCTAATGGCCCACCAATTCTTCCAACCCTTCGGGATCGGCAAATTGGAACCAGACTTGTCTGGGAGGATAGCAACACTGGTTAGGTACATTGGTAGGCCACCGCGAGTCATTGTAGAGGCCAGATATGCATTCAATCACCTCCAACGATGTTCAATGAAGTCCAGTGCATGGCGCATCCCTCAGGAATTGATCAACGCCGAGTGCTTTTATCCTTTTAATTCGTCAACGGTGATAAGTTGGAAAATCCATAACCGGGCTTTTTAGACGGTGAGGCACAAAGGTTATGTTGAAGTCACTTAGACGGCCCTCTTCACATACCATGCTCATGCCAGCAACTCTTCCATTCGTTTCATTCTTTTGCAGTCATCATTACATGGAGACGACCGAAGTCACGTACGGCTTTCGTTGCGATTACTGAAACTTGATTACAGTTATGACTATTTCTAGTTTGTTCGTATAACGAACATATCAGCCGGCTTTCTCGTTGCCCTCCTTCAAAGTCATTCTTTCAGAATACAATCATTGTTCTTTTTGTCTACGTTTCATTTAATTTTCTCGTTTTCGGAGCCCCTCATATCTACTCTTTAAAACACATTCTGACTATGCTCAAAAGTAGGATATTCTTCGAAGGTGATGGTCTCTATAAGACGTCTCTGAGCATCTTGGGTATCGTGCTCCTCCTTGGCAAAAATATCAGCCCATTTTTTTTCCTGCATAGCAAACAGCGCTGCGAGAACATTTCACTAAATAGGCGAGTGTGTAAGTCAAGGTTAGCAAGCTGATTAATGGTCCGATAGCACTCCGAGTTGCTCGTCGTCTTCTACCTATCTTGTTTAAAGTCGCTATCTGTACGCACTGAACGTCCCAGGCATATGTGGGATGTATTCTTTCGTCCTGGTGACCCATTCATAATAATCTATTCTCTCTTACATTAGGCATTCTTCACAAATCGGACTTTCATACAGTTTAATAGTAGTCCAATTTTCTGGCTGTTTCGTTGCATCCAGGAAATTCCGTTGCATCCAGGGAATTCTTGCCTCCGTTTCTGCGGTACCGCTCGAAAATAAGACCATGTTGTCGGAAAGATTAGTTAAGTTAGTTTAGTTTAGTTTTTAGTTGATGGATAGCAGCCGCAGTTCCTACTTTTTAACACTTTACTTTTAACTTAAATACTTACAACAAATAAACGGCTCTGAGGAAGGCGAAACCGCCGAAACGTCAACTATTGTATCCTAATAAATTCTATAATAACAACTTCGTGTCTGCTTATTGAAGAAAGACATCGAATTATCAATCAAATTTCTGTGGGATTGTTGGTAATTTTCTTTAAGTGAGAATAGTAGGTTTTGATGTAGACGTTATGGTTATGACTAAATTTATACAAGAATTTCTGCTACCGAATCAATCTTACTGCAGGAAATTATACCTCTTAAGACTTCATCAAGTATTTTGAACATGGAATGTTGAATTCACGTTGCATTCGCCATTTAATTGTACACGGCATCACTGTGGACAAATTGGTCGTATAGGGATTGTCATCTCTTCGCGGAATAACGGTAATTCTTCTCCATTTTTTGGATTAAAGCTAATCTTCGCACAAAGTCAATTTTTGGAATTCACATCTAGCGATGGTGGCCTTTCTTCTTGAAAATAAGCAGGTAGACAGATAGTGTACAGAGTCCTCACAAATCTTCGTGACTCTTGAAGACGAGCCATTTAAGCAATTAAGTACAAATAGTACCTGTTGAAAACACCTCTAACGCACAAACTATTTATAAACAAAGAGTTAAAATAGACAAACCTCATACTGTTGAGGCTTAAATTCCCATCGCATACTTGAAGGAACGTCCGAGTTAAACTGTACTCGTATTAATCGCTCCTCCACTTTCTTCATGTTCGCTATTTTATCGAAATCCTTAGCTATCTAAAAACATCACTGCTACACATTTAACAGCAACATACTCACTCTGTGACTCTACAACGAAATTGTAAAAGAAACCTTTCTTTCACTGTAATGAGTTCTTTGGCGAAATATCGCGTATTACGAGAAACCACAGTGCGTCCAGAACCTACTATGCTGCAGTATACTGTAATGTAGCCACAACGTTACTCACAAAACGGGAGGAGTACGAGCATAAATGCTCGCCTACGTATATTATGATGGTCTGATAACTCTACAAGAACTGATAGTCATTCAAATCCCTGCTTCCTCAACAGCTGTAGAGCAATAGTCATGTTTTTATAATAACAATGTTCTTTACTACCTGAATCATTTACTTATTACCCTTGCAGCACGATAAAGCGCTCGCCTTTTAATTCCACGGCTAGGTTTGAGCAAAAAATTGGTCATGCCTCCTCAACTGTTTTGGCATTGAGAGCTCCCTCATTTTTTCTACAACGACCATTCGCGTCCGATCAGCTCGATAGCTAGCGAAAGTGTTTGATAGTTTTCTAACTAACTACTTTATATCGGATTTTGATTGACAATGTTTGATACATCGGCAAGGGAGTGAATGTCATTGTATAAATCAGGTATGCACTCAACCACTTCTACGATAATTGAAGAAGTCGAATGAAAGCCATATCTCCCAGGGCTTGATTAACTCCAACTACCTTACACTTAACTTCGCGGTTTAAGTGTAACCATCGCAGCAAGAATTTAAAAAAAAAAAGGTGGCAAATGATCACCTACCTATTTCCAAAATGGGGGATATACCTCTCTGTTAGGACCGAAACTCTCACGATAAAAATCTCACCGATTTAATCGTTTTACTTTCTTTCGTGTGCTTACCTAACAGTGTGTCCTCTCACATATCTCTTTTTATAAATATTTACTTGCAAACCCACAATAGCTATGCCTATGCTCAAAGCATATCACCTCGTTAGACAAATATCAACTTGTATCCTCAACGAAAACAGATGAGGTAGATCCTCACCGCAGATACCTGTCGTCCAGAGTTTTGCGAAAATCTCAGCATTACTATTGAGAAGGTAAGGTTGAAATCAAGGTTGAAATCCATTTGGCTAACTGTCCCTATGAGTTCAATTGTTCCCGACTATTTTACCAGTTTTACACGAATACATTTGCAACAATACATGACTTTTGGTGTCCGCCATGTAAGGCAATGCCTAATTTCTCGACGGTTAAGGCAAATCATTGCACATTAGGAAGAATCTGTCAAACACTACAATATTATCATGAACTGTCGTGTTGCTCAGGTATATGGGTGGCGAACAGTACACAATAGTTACGACATGGTGTGCCATACCAAGTCCAATGATTTACTGGATAAATAATTACAACATCTTACTATTAACAATTTTACTTATATAATACTTGGATACTTGGATGGTCCCTATTCACTGGTTGTACAGACCCAAGTATAATTTCCATTGTTTCGGGTTTTTGCTGGTTTAGCCATTGTGGTTCCGTGGAGTCCCGAGGTCAGTCAGGACATAGTCTACGCCCAGGTCGTCACTACCAAAGACAGTCGCTGCTCCTGTGGATCAGAAGGAGATTTGCCACCATGCGACTAGTTTGATACCAGGACGATGGTGGATCACGGCATTGGTTCACACTTAGCTCGGTTTCCTGACGTAAACGCCAGACTCCTCAGCTTGGGATACCCTACTAGGAAGATGAATCCCCTGCCATACATCTCAGCCCGACACCCAGGCACATCTTCCAGCCACAATGAGGCAGTAAACCTTGAGAAAACTTACAAAATAGTCATCCACAAACTTGGTTCCACTACTTAGGATATCTTACCGGAAATAGTAAATATTCGTTAGGTTTATCGTATACCACTGCTACCAATGCAGAGTTCAGCATAGGAAAAGCAACGTATTATTGAAGAAAACAACCACCTGAGTAAGACCACCGAACGATGTTTGCTCACAAAAAATCCTATAGGCTGGGATTGCAGCAAATGTCACTCCTATAGCTACGACTCCCACACTCACTACGTAGTACATCGAATCTCGATTACACCCATCATCACGACCCTGAATGAGATAAGTAGTGCAAGTCTGTATGTAAAAAGGACTGCAGCTCTACTTTACAACAAAAAATGCTGGACTCCACCAACCTTACTAGAAGACTATCGAGTGCTATTCTAGTTCTCGAAAGGTAACTGACTGATACTCCAAAGCTAACAACTCTTTGTTGGAAACCGATACAAACTTAATACTTTCGTTTCAATTCATATTTATCCTTTTATAATTGTCCTATTAAAGTTCACGCTTGCCCATTCAAACACTCCAATGCTTGTGCAAGACAATAACCTATTCTCTTACTCAGACACTTTCCCAAGTCCACAAGTTGTTAAAGGATAAACCGGATGAAATCGCTGCCCTACTACGAAATCCAAGGCAAAACCGCTATCTTACTACGATACATCTTCCAGATAAGGGTGATAACCAAGGTAAGCTTCCACGTTTACATTAAGTAAACAATCCTCCACAAATGAGTGAATGGAATAGACCGTATGATGAGACCTGAATTAGAACGAATCTGAATTTGAACTATACAGAATCCCCTCAAGGTTTGCTCGAGAGCACGCTTTTGGGATAACTAGCCATCAAATAAAAGGCTAAATATAAGGGAAACAATGCGGATACGTGTGCTGTACAAGGGTGATGATAATCCAGTCTCACATTCATTGACTGAAAGAAGGCTTTGACTCAGTTGAGATCGAAGCAGTCATGGAAGCCCTAGATAGTCAGGGAGTCCCTGCTCAGTATATAAGGATTCTTCGTGAGCTGTACAAAGATTTCAAAACCAAGATATCACCATTCTATGACGATATTAATATCGACGACAAAAGAGAGGTAAGATAAGGCGATGCCATCTCGCCAAAATTATTTACCGCCACCCTCGAGAACGTCATGTGAACATTGGAATGTGATAATATGGGAGTGAAAATCGATAGTTGGCAGTTACACCATCTTCGCTTTGCTGATGACAACGTCCTTAAAACATCAAACATTACCCAAGCGGAACGTATCCTTGACGACTTTGATAAAGCCTGTGGAAGGATTGGTCTTCGACTAAATCTCACAAAAACGATGTTCATGAAGAACGGATTGGTCTCGCATACCTCATTCCGGCTCAGCGGAACAAATATCTCCGAATGCTCCAGTTATGTCTATCCAGGTCGAGAAAACAACATGTTGAACGACTTAGCTCCAGAGCTGAGCAGAAGGAAACGAGTGGCTCAGAGAGCTTTCAAGAGCATCAAAGATTTAGTGAAGAGAACAAAGAACACCCGACTCCGTGTCCACCTTTTCGACTCCACGATATTTCTTGCCGTGATGTATACATCCGAAACGTGGTCGCTGCGTAAGCAGAATGAAAGGCCAGTCAGCGTTACTGAGTGCGCAGTTGAAAGGATGATGTTAGGATTACTGCATGTCACATAATAAAGGGATGGAATCCAAAGCTCCGATCTACGTCACAGATAAAAGATCAAGAATGCTGTTCTATAGACCAGATTGTCGAAGATAAGATGTACTAGGCACCAGACACATAATGTCTGTGAACGACAACCGATGGACAAGAGCCGTTAGTTACTTGATTCTTCGGGATGCCAAACGTACTCCAGAAATACCACCGATACAATGGTCAGAGCTCTTCACGAAACTCTTAGAAGAAAGACTTGATGGTTAACGAGTCCCTAGAGTGAGTAGAACCCGTTGGACCACTTCTGTACACGATAGGGGAAACAGGGATTGCTGGAGTCCGCTCATGTCACTCAACGACCAGCGGAGTGACAAACGATACAATATTGTTGTATATTTGATACATCAGTTTCCTGTATACAAGTGAAGTCATTGCGGCAAAGTAGGTCCATCAATCCGACGAAGTGCACCAGATAATTCGACGTCTGTGTCCCACACTGGTCAATAGAAAGGGACCAATCTTTCTCGCGACTTCACAAAGCACTACCAAGGTTGCAAAAGTTGAACGAGTTGGCTATGGAATCTTGCATCACCACCGACCATACTGATCAGATCTCTCGCTTAACAACCGGTATTTTTTCCAACGTCTCAACAAGTTCCTGCGCTCGGCTACTAAACTCTTTCTCGCCCACCGTGCTCGCCAAACCTCTCACCTACCACAAAAACCAAACCGAGGTGCACCTGTCCACGACGACTTCATTGTCTTCAGAAGTCTAGAATTTCAAGCTATTAGTATAAACCCACTCCATGTCCACAAAATACGTGGATTTCAGCGTTGTTTAACTCGATTAATAAAGTTTGTTCCGAGCTGAGATATGCCACAGTGAAAATACAAGCTGAAATCGTATATTAATTCCTAGAGACCCTATTAGGTAGCGTCAGCATCGAATTGCATCAGAGTAGAACAGCAGTCAAAACTCCGCTTTAAGCTTTAAACTTGTAAAAATATTATTCTTTAGGACGTAAAGATATGTCGAATTACGTGGAAGACTCTGCATTGACCGTCGAATCGAATCCGTGGGCGAACCAGCAAGTACGATCCAGGGGTTTTCATCGGAGACATCGAAACCACAAATTGGAATATACGAGATAAAGACATCTAGAACACTGTAAAGTAAGAAAAATAGAGCTTGACGTAAACCAAGGTGCGAGCACGTAGCGATGATATGCGAAAATAAGTATTCCTAATGAAGTTCTCAATAGACCTCTATACTTATTTGAATATTTGGAAGGTCCGTCCTCATCGGTCGTACCGGCCCCAGTATAATCTCCACTTCTCGGAGCTTTGTTGGTTTACCCAGTTTCCCTGGAGTCCCAAGGACACCCTGGCCAAAGTCTGCCCTCGCTCTTCATCACTATGCGCAGTCGCCGCTCTTGTGGATCAGATTTGCTGCAATGCGACTAGCTAGATACCAGGACGGGGGCGGATCCTATTATTGGCTCACTCTTAGCTTGGTTTCCTGGAAGAAACCCCGGACTCCTTCTCAACCTGGGAGACCCTGCCGAGAGGATAAATTTCCCCACTGTACATCGCAGTTCGACATCCAAGAGCATCTCCCAGTCACGATGAGGTGGTAAACCGTTAGGAGGCGCTACACTTATGGTGTGTTCCATCTAAACGAGTTAAACATCAAATGATTGAGTTTGAGTAGTCAATAGGCTATGGTTGAACCATTGACTAACCACTATGAAAACTCATTATCACATTTAACCAATCTGTGAAAGTGTACAATGTAGAACATTCTGGTAAAACAAATGCTAACAGCGAACAACAAAGATAAGAAGTAATTTATGGATTTATGAAATAACTACGGGTTAAACCACTGAACGTATTCTTCATTCATTCTTCGCTTCTTCACTTTTCGCTTCTCCTCCGGAACGAATGGATTCTGTTTTGTATAGAATGACTTCAACAAGGCTATTGATTGATCGGCGCCTACTGAATCCACTATCTAAAACTACAATGCGAAATTACACGAGCACACTTTGTTCTCTTTTTCTGATATTATCAGTGTTATTGTCACCACTGACCTCGATATTAGACTCGCCAAGGTTATACTTAAGCGAGTTACCAACACTCTTGATGCCGCCGAATCTCTCATTTGCAGCTCCATATACAATCTTCGATATACCTAAAGTTGTCATATCATGTCTGACAAAACCACTTAAGAGTTGATTTTCAATCATACAAGAAAGATGCAATCGTCTGGCGTGATTGGCACCAACTCACTTTCTAAGAATACAAGAAGTTTTTTGGACGAGTTTTTAAATCAAGCCGCAGAGATTGTTGCTCTCGAGAACGGTGCAAAGTTAACGGAAGCTTAAAAATGAGCGATAGGACGACGCCTGTACCTCAGAAGGCGACTAACAACTTTTTTGAACAAAACAGCATTAAGCACTGTTGCAAATTGCGATGCCAAATATGACTACTAGTAGGTACTTGCTCAGAAGATCGGTCGTTAAATGATTTCAATTCGCATTGCTTGCGACAAAAAAGAAAGAAAAAATCTTGTGCCATGATATACGTTGGCCACATGAAATCAGGCAACGAATTCGAAGTTGCAAGATACGATCGTTGAATTTATTTAATAGTGCCAACTACATACCTAATTCATACAATCCACTGGCACACATTACACATGGTTCGAGGGTCACATAGAGAATTAAATGGTGTAGAATCTAAAATGATCAAAATCAAAATTTCTGCTGCTAAACCTAAAGTTCTCTACAGTAGTAAACCGATATCAAAATAAATCGTTTTACTATGTAATGCCGGTAGTGGTTTTTTTTTTGAAAAATGACGATAACGATGCTAACCTTTTATTATCTGCCTACAATAATTTTTCACGACAGGGTATGATGTGAATTACAACCACAACGATGTTCAGATATTCGCAAAACTTGGAACCCAGGGCCAGAAGTCCTTGCTTTGCTTTTCTTTCAGCTAGTTTTCTACCTAACGCTGCCATCACCAACTGACGATAGCTTTCCAAGCACCAACCTACTTAACAAGTTCACAGCTTCACATATTGAATGGAAACACTTTTCATTATCGCCTTAATTGATTGCTATGTGTTACCAGTGCAAAATGTCACTCTACCTAGTATAACGTAGAAACGTAGATTAAGCATAAGTCAAAGGACAAAAACGTGCACCTTCCGGATATTTGGTATTTCTGACTGCATTCTACACAGGGCCACCATCTCAGCATGAGCAGTAGGATTTTTAGTGCAGTTGACTTCATTCCGACCATACCCCACCTGTAACATTGCCTTATAGAAACATCAATGATAACAACAGTAAAGCAATAAAAGGATAAAAAGGATAAAGCTCCCAGCGTTAATCAGTCTCTGTGCGATGTGCCATGCATTCTACTTCATTGTTTGGAGATGACTGAATGCATATCTGGCCTTTTACAATGACTTACGGTGGCCAGCCGATATATCGAGCCAGTGCTCCTATCCTCCAAGATATCTCTGGTACCAATTTGCCGATCCCAGAGGGATGGAGGGCTTGGTGAACTTGGAGAGTACGGATCGATCCCATGTGTATCGCAGGGCGCCTCCGGCCATTGCACTACACGCTACTACCAAACCGATGCATACACAACCACGAGCGTGCAACAACAAGTAGTACAGTGCAACATTGATTTGTATAGATTATTAGATTAGATACAGATTATTAATGAAAAGTATGAAATATAAACAGAAGTACTCATCAGCATTCATAGTAATAAAAAAGTCGCAGTAAAATTACAAGGAAAACTAACTTCCACTCCATTATACGTAAATACGCAGCCCACAGGGACCTCGTCATTGTCAAGTGCTTCCTGTGCCAACTGAAAGGCTCTTTTCATGAACTTCCTATCCTCGTCATGTGACTCCGCTACATCTGCCATATACTGAACTACGAATAGACCTCGATTGAAAAATTAAATCACCAGGATATCCTCTCCTTAATCTGTTCTCCTGAAGTCTGCAATAGAGAAATTGAAATTTTGCACAGTAAATTTACGACAGTATAACGTTTACGGAAAGCAAGCAGACAACGAACAGATCTGCCAAACCAGTTTTATGTAAATCCCACGACCGACTTTCTATTAACCTCGGCATTGATCGAAACACTCCTTATATTCCTACTGAGCGAGCACGAGGTGTTATTTTATCTTCCTATTTATGAAAAGCTGACGCTTCAGCGGATTAGACCTTCTAAGAGCCTGGGAAGGTCAAGTTTACCGCAATCTACCCACCCAAACACCTCCTCTGTTTGGTTATTGAGGTGTTTGACTTGGTAGATTGCGAACAACTTGACCTTCCCAGGCTCTGGGAAAGGCTAAATCCACCTAAATGCTAGCTCGATCGTTAATAAAGGAGTAAAATAACAATTTTGTGTTCCGCTTCATACGATTCAACCTACGAAGACAATTGCACACCCCTGTAATATTTCTGTGCAGTCTCACTGATTCCAAACAGGTTTGCAAACACTCTGAACCACAATCACTACCAGTGGTCTTTTCTAGGTTGAAAAAACAATGGTACTGGAAACCGCATTGCCGATAAATTGCTTAGACAAGGAATTAGGTTTATAAAAATTTTATTCATAAAATAATGAACCATACAGAAAGAGCTGGACACCTTCATTTATTTTTCAGATGAATTTGAAATTATTTCTTGTAAGCATCGACCAAACTCTCCTAACACCAATCGCTCCATTTCTTCCAGGATACCGTCATTAACTTCACCAGAACAACCAGATAACTGAAAAAGGTCTCGGTGTAGGTAAAGATAAGCCACTCCCATTGCGTGCGAAACATAGACGTCATACACTCGATAAGAATGTAGCTACACGTTTTTACGTGGGCAGGGATTAAAAGCAGACTAAAAACAACCACTTAATGTTCTCACATGCAAAAGTACTATGGCATCCCAAATTAGCTGCGACAGAAAACCTTTGACAGCTCTAATCTCATTAATTAATATATTTGAAGGTGTGCTTGTATGCTGATTCTATTTTGTACTTCATCAAACCAATAATGAAGCTACTAGGAATACATATGATCCAATTTCAAATAACCTCTAATAGGCAAACCGTTGATTGTTCCCTAACCAGATCCCAAAGAATAAAACTGGCCACCTTCTCATCTAATACCAGGAACGTTCTGCTTTCCATAACTCAATAAGCTCAGTGGAAAACGCTGAACGCAGTTGAGATAAATGGGAACTTTACTGGTACCCGAGCGGACAACTCGATGATTGACGGGACTAATATAAGTGATACCAGTGAACCTACACTAAATTAACCACATCTATAGGAAGACAAACCGATTCCTCAGCTTGAGCTACAAGGCATAACGTAGCGGCTTCGATTACCTCGTCGGTCATATAAAACCAAGGATATCTAAATAAAACAATTCATAAAATGTTACAATTTGCTTACTAAATTTCGACATTTTTCAAATGCTACGTTGACAATGAACAGTTGACCTTGCAACTCAGAACTTACGATCGTGGATCAAAACGAGCAGAAGATGAATCAGGATCGGAGTCGTTTTCTGATAAGGGGGATGATGGTGAACCGGTTGCCAAGGATGAAGCAGCGTTTGCCAAGCTCATCAGAGCAGAACTATTCGAACCGATTCTGAAAAGATAAATTCCAAAGACAAAAATTATAACCACAATGATGCTGAGATACTTGCAAAACTCAGGACAGCTGGTGTTTCCGGGTGTGAGGTAAAACTCACGTAAAAATGAGTAAAAGGAAGTGATAACATTGTGATTTATACCAAAGCTTCAGCTTAACTGGGTTCAACGCCGATTTGTGCTCGTCAGATCACTCCTGTTGACGGCGCACTGCTAATAGCACCCATAGATCAATAACACGGTTGAGAGATAGACGAAACGAAGGACTCGCATGGTATGGTGGTGATCGCGTTAGCCAACGCGTGGTGAACACGAATAGCGCGTTCGCTCCCCATCACAGACACGAGTGGTCCGCAGTTTTGCAAATAACTCAGCATCATTATAGTTATACTTCGCGTAATATCCTGTTATCCAGAAAGAATAGGGAGTAAGTAAAGTGACGACGAAAATGTTGATTCCAGCAAGAAAAAGAAGGTCGCCAACCTATCGTTGCGGCTTACACGATCCATCTCAGTGTTCTGGCAACCATGGCATTTACATCGACTAGTGCATGGTACTTTGGCCTGAACAGTATTCTCAGATAACCTATTGGACTACGAACTCGAATGCACACACTTCAAAACATTCGCAGTAATTCTTCAAGCAACCGCTCTTCTTACAGTGACATCCCTTCTGATGTAGTCTTTCAGCGTCCAACTTTCCACTTTTCACACCTTAAAACAAGTCTTCTTTTACAAATATTGAATACAAAATAAGAAAACATCAGCACAAAATTTTGACCGGTTAACGAAGACAAAGCAGCACCCACCTATTTTCGGCTTAAATGCGTTCGGATTTCTTTCCAAAGATTGTTTAATGGCTTTAGATCGATCGGCGTCATGTTCCAAATTGTTATGACAATCTTTGCAGTTACAATCCAGACAAAATTCGCCGTTTGCGAAACAATCACAATACAGTTTCAAGCACATGGACTTCGTACAATTACAGGGTTTCCGTTGACCCGGTAAAGGCTTCCTGGAAAGAATCGCAGAGAAAAACAGCATTCATATAAAACAGATGACGAAATAAACCTTACTTTCGAGGTTTGGATTGTATGGCTTGGGTGGATGGGATCGGATAAACGGTGCTAGATGACGGTGATGAAGAGAACGGTTTCGATATGTTGGAGTTTACATGAGCAAGACTGAGAATGCTTGAGTTGTTGAGCAAATCGAAAGACTGTTGTGGCACCTATACGAAGTGAAACAAAGTGGAAGCATTCCCACAGAGCATATTCCCAGACGGGAAACAAGATACATGACAAGCTCACATTGCAGGTGAACTGCTCGCTGACGGATGTGGCCTTCGCGAGATTGGATTTGAACCGAGGAACCTTACCAAAATAAGATTTATTTTATTGGATGCATTGTCTAGCAAACAAGCTTCATAGACATATAAGCAACAGCAATTATTCTTCATGTAGGCGAATGATAAGAGCACTCATCAGAACTGGCCCTCGTCCATAAACAAGGCGAAAACTTATCGAAGGACAAACTTCTAAGTACTTTTAGGATAATAATGTTACATTCTTACGTGAGGGACTTGTGAAGGAACTTGTGCGGGATAAGTTTGCTGTTGATGAATAGGATGATGAGCTTGGAACTGAGGTGTAGGCTCCGTTGGCATCTGTTGTGGCACTGGAGGTAGCTGCACTTGCAACATCTGTGGCTCAGAAGGCTGAGAAGCCTGTCAATGAAACGCATGAAAGGCGTAAGAAAATCAACCTAACAATCGCCGAATCTTATCATCATCTTATCATCTTATCAAAGAAAGAAAGAAAAAAGGAACGAAAGGAAAGAAGAAATAAAGAAAGAGAGAAAGAAAGTAAGTAAGAAAGAAAGAAAGAACTTTCACCTGGGACATTAGTGAATGTTGATTAGCCTGAACAAAAGTGCCATCTTCAAGCCGGATATACTCTTCTTCATGGAATACTCCATATTCTTCTCCTTCAAGGTAAAGAGGTTCTCCATCGTCACCTACCAAAACCTGCTCAAAAACCTGAAAATTCTGGCAGGACTTGTTGCCTTCCACTACAAGAACATAGGAAGGTATACTGACAATTTCAAGGGAGACTTCAGTACTTCAATAACAATGTTCTTTCTCTAATTTCTGGAACAGCTAGAAAACTATAAGTTTGTATAAAGGTACTCTAAGAGGTTACAGAACTCTAAATATAGCGAAATCCTATCCACAACGAGTTAAACACGACTTTTCATAGGAGACTCTTCCTTGGTTTTGGTCTAAAGGTAGAAAAACTGAACCCACCAAAGGTTCTCTATTGCTTTCCATGCCACGAACACATTCACCATTCGTCTCGGACATGGAAGTGGAACGCTGATCCTAAGGAAGAACAGTTCGCCAAACGATAGGCCACGTCTTATTTAACAAGTTTATCCCAAAAATCAACAAACACAGTCAACCTAACCCAGCCTACTTTCCAGACTAAGGAGGTTAAGACCTGATCACATCCGGAAGAAAAAACGTGGACGACTTCAGAAAATCACTATTCAACATGATATTTGCCAACACTTACGATTTCGAACTATTTTTAGTCGAAAATCGATTTATCAACCCCGTGTAAGATCAGATAATTAAATACATATTTTTAATCGTTTCCCAACCACTCTTAGACTAACTCTGTTGAGGATGCCGCAGCTATATTTTACCCCAGAATTGCAGAACGGATCAATACCCATCATTCTTACATGGGTACGCAGTGAAGACGTTACCACTACATCGTATTTAAACTAAAGCTTACTAAATATCAGCAATCTCTCCTCAAAAATTTCGAAACATAAGACTAAATCTTTTGAACAAAATTATGCAGCCGGATGATAATTTCATATTCAAAAAGCGCGCGCAAAATGGTGTGCGCGTCGACTATAAAAAACAGTGATACGCAGCAAAATGGCGCCTTATTTCGTCATCGCCGATAGGTTCACTTTCTCGTGCTATTCTCCATTGAGCGTCAAAGGTTAGAATGCCTCCAAAGTTCGACCCTAGTGAGATAAAAATTGGTAGGTACATACGTCATTATGACTCGTGCTGTTGATTCCGCCTTTCCTTACGTAGTTTTCAACTTCTAACTAATGTATTCGCCTCTACCTCGCTTTCAGTGTATTTGCGATGCGTCGGTGGCGAAGTCGGTGCTACGTCAGCGCTCGCCCCCAAAGTCGGACCACTAGGTCTTTCACCGAAGAAAGTCGGTGACGACATTGCAAAGGCCACCCAGGATTGGAAAGGATTGAAGGTCACGTGCAAACTCACCATCCAGAACCGTGTAGCGAAGATAGACGTTGTTCCGTCGGCTGCATCGCTGCTGGTAAAGGAGCTCAAGGAACCGCCGCGTGATCGCAAGAAGGTTAAGAACGGTATGCACCTTAGGCGAAGGGTCGAGAGTCCATATGCTCTTATCCCCCAGTCTTTTGTTTTTGCATAGACTGGTAACGCATGCAACAGGTGTAATTTTAGTGAGTTCTCTTTTTCCATGTGGACGACCTCTCTTAGTGGTTGGTTCATGCGTTTATTTAGTGTTGATTTTAGTGAAGCACAATGGTGACCTGACTCTTGACTCGATCATCAAGATTGCCCGGATCATGAGGCCGCGATCTATGGCAAGGAAGTTAGAGGGTACAGTGAAGGAAATTCTTGGTACGTTTCACAAGAGTTGTCATTTCCGTCTTTACGGGGAACTCAAAGTGTGTTACAGGGACAGCACAGTCTGTTGGTTGCACGATCGATGGGCAGCATCCACACGATATTATAGAGCAAATTACAAGCGGTGAAATAGAAATTCCTGCCGAGTAAATTGTTGATTTGTTGTTTGATAAATTGTTGTTTGAATTCTGATCTGTTAATGAGGCATCCGAAATTTTCTTCGGAAGATGTGCATAATTAAAGCTGTTATCTTGTAGCTATTCGTAGATATATAAATATGTTAAGAAATAAGAGAACTATCCGAAGATTTGTATCACGTACTTAGAAATGAGGGACTCCTAGTGTGGTTGTTCGCCCTATATTAATATCTGGAATACTGAAAAGGGCCAAAAGAACGATGGATTCCAGGGAACAAACCCTCGACTGGGTAATAATGTAGACGGGATGTTGGTTTCCTGCAGGACAGAGATTGTAGTTGGAGAAGTAATTTGCGCCGCCTGGTACATGCTTGTCATTTGTTTGTTGGGTGTGTGGTTGCTTCTGAGTAATAGGATGTGATCGGTACCCTTCAGTGTGATGTTGTTCACTTGTTGATCTGTAGTGGCTTAGTATCGGCGCTCAAGAAGTTCTATATAGTGTGAATTTTCTGGATATGGTTCCTTTCCTCAACAAACCGTGGCAGAAGATCTCTATCTATGAATGAGTTCCTGGTTTGGCAGAGCTATATGTGCCGTTTCGTTCCGTCATATTCGATGGTCGGTTTGTCACCCTGTTCTGGGCTAATTCATTTTCGAGCTTCTACGGAAAAACAGGAAAAGGTTGCGATTTGATCAGATTGTCCATCGACTGGAGTTATGTAAAGGGAATGTGGAGCATCTGGTTTAGTTTTGGAAATTGAGTTAGTGCTTTAGTGGCGTTGTCGTATTTACATGAAATGTTTGTGTTTGTGATCCTTGTTGATATCCAACTAGCAGTAATTGTATCATCCGAGATTGGACTTGGGAGAGACCATCGGTCTGGCGACAAAGTTCCTGTGGAACACAAAAGTTTGACGTTGGAAGAGATGTCTGTCCGTAGACACTGTGTAGATGGAGATCGTCTTGATTTGATTCATGAACATGGGTTTTCCTTAATGACTTGGGTCTTTTTAAATTTTTTACACGAGCCACCTTCACGTTTGCCCCACGGATCCCATGCAACACTTTTTACACTGTATTCGTTTCCTCGCTACCACAGTCCACGGAGATCTTCGAGGTTTGGGGTGTGGATTCGGTTGCAGGCTGCAGCGCGGGGATTTCTGGTCCTTTCATGGGTGTCGTTTTATGCTGACCGAGTCGATTTTCCTTTGAGTCCGAATATAGATGTACTAAAGTGTTCCCATGTCTATTGGAGAATGCAAGTTGAGCCGAGAGATTTCGTAGTACCGATTTTCTGACCTTGGAAGGATGAAAGGCTTGGTGAGCGGGGTCAAACCAACGCCATGCTCTTTGCCCATCACCTTTCTGTTAAATGAAATGATCAAATTGGTTAGGACACACCTATTGAGACAGTGTGAAGTGGTTGTTGTCTTCTTTAACATTACGCCACACAGTAAATGTTTTTTCTTTCGATTTTCTGGATGAAGTTCTCATGATGGCTTCGATAATGAAATCGAAGGTTCACAGTGAGATGGAAATCCTAGAGGTGCGTTCTGTTGGTTTAAACTCTTTAAATCAGCTAATCCTTCCTTCTGAATGCTTCGGTTTACAGAAAACCGATGTGCTGACAACACGATACTTCCAAGAAGGTCGTCATGTAGAAGATATTCTTGGCATAAAGGAGGACGGAGAGGAGCGCGACATATGGTGTGTGATCTTAAAAGCTTACTGTAAGTTAAATAATCGTAACTCCTGCAAAACCGGCAGTTTTAGGAGGCGGTTTAGCAAAGAACGAATGAAAACGGTGTCTGTTGCGCTCGTACTTTGTCTTCACATAGGTCAGTTATTATTTTCAAAGAGGTTTTTCTGTTTTACTTTTCACTGATTCTGCGGACTCTAGCGTAATTTCCACTTTTTCGGAGTTTTGTTGGTTTAGACACTGTGGTACCCTAGATTCCCAAGGTCAGCCTGGCCAAATTCTGCCGCAGGTGGTCGCCACCTCAGGCAATCCCCGCCCTTATGGGTCAGAGGGAGACTTTCTACCATACGACTAGTTTGATATCAGGACGGTGGTGGATCCTGGTATTACTCCTAACTGCGTGTCCTAGTGGAAACGCCGGACTTTTTCTCAGCTTAGGAGCTTAGGAGGCCCTGCCGGGGGATGAATCCCCTTGTACATTGCACCCCGACAACGAGGAACACATCTCAGTCACGATGAGGCGGTAAACCGTTAAACCGGACTGAACCTGTTCACTTTTCAAAACCGATTGTTATTTTACTGCAGGAGTAGATCCGCCAGATTCCGTGCCGAAATCGTCAGCTCGTGCTCGACTGGAAGCTTGGGTTGATCCATACAGTTGTAATCCGCAGAAAGCAGCGTTTAAGATCGCTACTTCTTTGCAAAAGAGCTATGAAAGGTGGCAGCCACGCGCCAGGTATCTTTTATTTTTCTCGATGTTTTGTTTGATTTGTAGGAGACTTTCGCCGATGATTTGAAGTCGTTCGCATTGTTTCTGTGAAGGTATAAGTCAGTAACTGATCCGACTGGTGATGACGTGCGGAAACTCTGTCAAAGCATGCGACGAAATGCGAAGGACGAACGTGTTCTGTTTCATTACAACGGTCATGGTGTTCCACGGCCTACACAGAATGGGGAGATTTGGGTGTTCAACAAGAATTTTACCCAGGTTGGTTTCACCTATTGACGTTTTTGTTCGTGAGGTTCTTTTCACTCATTCTTCTTCTCCGTTGTTCACCACATAGTATAAGCGGACCTTTTATTTCATTCTTTATTTGTTTTGTCTGTTTTCTCATTGATGTTTACGGACTCAATTTCAGTACATCCCCTTGTCGTTGTTCGACCTGCAGTTGTGCATGGAATTTCCATCCATATATGTTTGGGACTGCTCATCAGCAGAAACCATCGTCAACTGGTTTATGCGGTTTGCCAAAGATCACGAAGAGTAGGTACACAATTGTTATGTTTGACACTCCAGAGTTCTTGAGAAAGTACTTCACTTATTCTGCTGTTCTCTTCATTTTATTTAAATATGTGTATCGGAGAGGCGCATGTAGCGCAGTGCTCGTAGGCGCCATGCATTAATGCACGTGGGATCGATTCCCAAACCCCAGGCCCACCAAGCCCTTCGTCCCTCCGGGGTCGATCGGGGTGTAGTCCAAGACGAATCATTGTAGAGCCCAGATAGGCATTCAGTCACCTCCAACGATGCCTAATGAAGTTGGATGCCTGTCTCATCCCTCAGGGATAGATCAACACCGAGAGCTTTGTCTTTTTTAGCTTTATGTGCATCGAATGGGTCCCTACCTGCCACAGAATTATTTAATGGCATTTGTTATCGTATTTAGTTTCTTATAAGGGTATGATATAAAAACGTGCTGCAGCAATGAGAATTAAAAATTTGTGTTTATAATGGTTTAATTATTGATAGTTGAAAGCTTATTTGCAGTGATTGGCACAAGAAATTGTTGGCTCATCAAGAAGCTGTCGCGTCAACATCAATATCAGGAGCGAAAATCAACTCTCATATGACTGCTGATCAACAAGCAGAGTCGCTGAAGTTTCAGCGGAGACCGAAATTTCGAGTTTGCTTCTCGTTAATGATTTGATTTTCTCTGACAGTTAAGAAACTGAGCGATCTGTTTTCAACACATACGATACTTACGTGATACTTGAACTGCCCGTCCTCACTAGTTGTGCGGGACCCAGCTAATCACTACTTTTCGGAGATTTTCAGGTTTTGCCATTGTGGTTTCCTGGAATCCCGTGGACAGCTTGGCCAAAGTTTGCCCCTGGTCGTCACCACGACAGGCAGTCGCAGCCTTTGTGGGTCAGAGGGAGTTTTGCCACCATGCGACTTTGATACTAGGACTGTGGGGATCCTGGTATTGGTTTACTCTCAGCTAGGCTTCCTGGTGGAAGCGCCGGACTCCTCAGCTTAGGAAAGTCGGCCGGTGGGACGAATTCCCCCGCTGTACATCGCAGTCTGACACCCAGGAACAACTCCCAGCCACGATGAGGCGGTAAACCGTTAGGGAGACGTACTATAGAAAGATATATAAAATAAAAATATGAGCGCGTGTGACGCACTGGTTGTTGACGCACTGCAATACGCGGAATCGACCCTTACGCCTCAGGCTCACCAAGCCCTCCGTTCGTCCGGGGTCTGAAAATTGGTACCAGACTTGTCTGAAAGGGTTGCAGCACTAGCTAGATACCAGATGTGGATTCACTGATCTCCAAACGATGCTTAATAAAGTCGAATGCATGGCGCATCTTTCAGGGTTTGATCAACGCCGAGAGCTTTATCCTTTTTATTTTTTTACGATATGAAAATGTTGGCCGCTTCCGGCTTCATTGTGAGCTTTATTGGTCAAAGTAAAAAAATATCGCAATGTATAGGTCTTTGTCAACTATTCGTATACCCTCTTCCTATACAATTTTAACTACCATGAAATGTATTTATGCGGTGTTTTTTTCAAATCTAAGCTTATATTTCGGATGTTGGACCGGTTAGACCCAGTTTCTGTAGAACTGAAAGAATCGCTGTCTTCCACTAGTTGGTGTTTGCAGCTACAACGCTTTGCTTGGGAATCCTAAAACATTAAATTTCGTCCTTAATTTTTGTAATCTTCACGTCTAAACAGTCTTGTAAGCACAAGAATATTTTAAAAGTTCTATGTGCACATACCAGTACACCAGGACCAGGAGACCAACACCAGGTTCCGCCACCGTCATGGTATTAAAGCCGCATGGTGGCAAAGCTTCCTCTGATCTACAAGGGCTGCTACTGCCTGTGGTGGTGAAGACCTGAGGTAGATTTTGGCCAGGCTGATCTCGGGATTCCAGGGAACCACAACGGCTTAACCAGCAGATCTCCGAAAAATGGCGATTATGCTGAAGCCCACACAACCAATGAGGGCGGGCCATTCAAGTATCAAGTATATGTGCAGACCATGAGAATGCAAAATAAAGCATTCTTTTGTAGGTCTTTAAGTAATGAAATCTGCAGTTGCTCAGTCAGCATGTTCCGTACATTAGGTGTTAACATCCCCATAATTTTTCAGTTCTCTGAACTACTCATACATTTTCCAGGATTGTATTCAACTTGCGGCATGTCGTGAAGATGAACGTCTGCCAATGAATCCCGAACTTCCTGCTGATTTATTTACATCATGTTTAACTACTCCCATACATACAAGCATTCTTTGGTACTGTTCACCTGATTTGCACATTTTACTAAAAACAACGTAAGCATTGTTTAGGTACTTGATAAAGAATGGCAGGAAAAATCAATTTCCACCAAATTTGCTTGACGAGATTCCTGGTCAGTTGAATGATCGAAGAACTATTCTTGGAGAATTAAACTGGATTTTCACTGCTATAACAGATACTATAGCGTGGAACGCTTTGCCAAGGGATGATTTTCAACGTTTATTCAGACAAGTACGTACATCGTTATTTTGTGTTGTAGAATTTTAATCTCCCTACTTGGATTTTCAAGGGACTGAGTAAATTGGAGGTTACAATTATTAGCACATTTTCATCTGACGGGGTTAGTGGGTTAAATGCATGCTGTTTGACAGCGTGTGCTTTCCTATGCTCGGGTTGATTTATTCCGTCCGTATATTGCTCCATACGTATATTCTTGTGCTTGCACATATTTGAACTATGTCGAACACATTGACTCGGCCAACAACATTTAATCAGCGACCGGTAGATACAAGGAGTATTAATGATCCCCTCAAAGAGATGTGTCTCACATCAAGTCTCTGAAAGCTGCACAATCTTACTCACGTACAACCAGCTTTTCCACCATGGTTTAACATAGCTAGTGATTTGCTAGCATCTCGCTAAAAGTAGGAGTTTTATAACACCGTAAAAAGAAATGGTGCTTTTTGTGTCCTTCAAACGAGTCGATGCTAAACGCGTTCTTCCACAAAGAAAGAGGCGAATAGCGGACTTTTGTATACCGGTTCTTGCTTGGATCAGTTGGTTAACATCAGCCGCATGCAATGCAAGTGTTTTGGATGTTTGTTGGTGTCTCTAATTCAGCACTTAAGGATCTCTTGCTAGCCTCTTTATTTCGGAGCTTTCTTCTTGCTGAGCGAGTAATGTCTGGAAACGGATGTAGTGAGTTGTCATGATTACCATTACCGTACTTTTATAATAGCTAACGAATTACTTTATAGATGTTGTCTCTTCTCCAGCTCTCCCTAGTACTGCAGACCATCCCCTGTGGGATTCTTGGGAATATACACTTGACCTATCACTCAATCATATTCACAACCTGCTTACTCCTAAGCTCAGTTTTCAAGTGATTGGGAGAGATTTGTTTTTTAGAAGCTCTATTTCCACCTTAAACAGTAAGTTTCAATTCAGTTTACTCTATTGTCCATATTTACGCTAGATTCTACGCTCACCTTCTTTGCTTTTTCATTAAGCCTTAATCGACTTGTCGGGTATTATTGGTGACGGTCAAGATGTCCCTCATAATTGGTTCTTTATTGAACAATTGAAGGCATTTGAGGTAATTTTTACACGTTAGTTTTTATTTGGTTTTATTTAACTTGACTTTGTATTAATCCTTTTTTGCTAATATTTTGGAACACTCTGATACAGTGTCCGGACCAAGCATAACATATGAGTTTGATAACACCTAAAAATCACGGCTGAGAGAAAGGAGAAAGAGGACCCGCATGGTGTAATGGTTCACGCGTTAGCCCTTGGAAAGAATAATACCTTGTTCGATCCCCACCCCAGACACTTGCTTTCGGAAGTTTTGTAAATATCTCAGCATAATTGTAGTTATATTTCACATCTTGCCCTACCATGAAAAAAGAATAGGCAGTAAATAAGAATGCAATAACAAATATGTTTGATTTCGAGATTCTGACTTGTTCAAAAACAGTAATTTCTTTCTTCTTTGCGGAATCTATGCAGCATCTCAGTCTCTTTTTCTATCTTCTACTTCTTTTTTGTCTCCCTCTATCTTGTGCCACTCTTTGTGTTCATCATATTTTTTTCTATCCTTATTTTTAATGTCTTTAACTCATTTAAACATGATTATTCTTCTATTTACATGTCTTGTCATCACATCTGTTGTGCTGATCCGAGCACTTCACGCATCCCATTTGTTTTTCTCGCATTCATCGTCCACAATGGTTTTCGAATATTTCGCCCGTTCTTTAGGATTTATGTTTGAGGATTTCGTCGTCTTCCTTGTGAGTGTCGTAAAATGCAGGTCGTGTTGATTCTCCGTGGAGTCCTGAGGCAACCAGGCTAAGGCGTTCCCACTTGGATTGCGTGGAGAGTGTTGAGAAAGGGGTCAAACCAGCACCTTCCTACCTGATGGGATCTATTAGTAGCTAGTTCAGTATACCCAAGCCCTGAATAAATTGCAATGTTTAAATTTAAAATTACTGTCTGTCTTTGTAGTTACAACCACTATGAGGCTGAGGCATTTGCAATGCTTGGACCCCAAACCAGATTCGAATCCGCGATTACCCTTTCCAAGGACTCACATGTTACTCACTGCACTACTGAAGCCCTTGCTTTGCCTTTGTGTCAGCCAGTTCACTGCTTAACATTTTTTTTTCTCGTCTCCACACTAGTACTCCTTTTTATCTACCAAGAAATTTCTTTCAGTGAGCCTTATTTTCATATGCTGTATGCTTTCACGTATAGTGTAGAATATTTAATCGTTAAAGTAATCCAGGGAGAGCTAAAGTTTTCTGTTATCATTAACGTATTGAAGGTTTGGCTTGAATACGGAGTTAACAAACAATCATCACCTGAACAACTTCCTATTGTTCTTCAGGTTCTGCTAAGTCAAGTGAGTTTACAACCGATATGGTTCCTTTCTTTTGCTAATGTTGTTACGTTCAAATACTAGGCTCATCGACAGCGCGCTCTTGAACTGCTTGCACGTTTCCTGGATCTTGGGCAATGGGCCGTTGGCTATTCACTTTCAGTCGGTATTTTTCCTTACATGCTCAAGTTACTGCAGAGCACATCAAGGGAACTTCGAACGTGGCTTGCTTTCATATGGGCTAAGGTTTGTTGTACCACACATACGTTCAGCTACTAGATTTCTAAGCATTATTTTATATTTTCTTCGTATTTTTGTTGAGCAAACGCGAGGTGTTATTATTCTTTGTTCACGATTAAGCTGACGTTTCGGCGGATTTCGCCTTCCTCAGAGCCTGGAAAGGTCAAGTTCATAGCAATCTACTCGGCCAGACGCCTCCATAACCAAACAAAGAAACTCTAAACCAAGATTTCAATCACTTTGAATACAGCTTTGCACACTCACCGCTTCCTATGAGGTTTCCACTAAGTATGTCACGTAGAGACCAACCGCACAGAAATCACATGGAAAGTGCCCCTCACATCAGAGAAGCAGTTTTATATACTGCCCTATATCACGCGTGATAATGAGGCATTCTTCCCTGCGGTTCATTTTCGGATTTCTGGAATTAATCCAGAGTGCCTCGAGAGTTTTTCGCGTCTGTGTTCTTGATTCGCGTGCGAGGATCATGACTCATACTTCGAAGTCGTCCCCGTTATGTCTCTGGGTCCTAGGCGTGCCTAGCGGGGTATTTGGTCTATTTTTGCCGGCTAGGTGTTCTTTCATGCGGACACAGAGGGGTTTACCCGTTTCGCCAATGTATTCGTCACCACACGTCTTACAGGAGATCAGATAAACTGTACCCGAGCTCATGCAATCACCGTCTCTACCACTGGGGCAAATTATGCAATTTTGAGTTGCACATAGACGGTCATATAGGCGGTTACGAACTAGCTGGCGCTTAGGATTACTCGGTGGTATTTCAACTACGCTCACCGAATTCTCTAAGCCCGCCCTTCTTAAGCAGCGTATAGCTGTACTTATATCATTTGAGATGAAGGGTAGGATAAACGGGACCCTTCTATCGCTAGAGTTGTCGTTTGGAGGCCTACGATTTCCTCTACACCTATCCTGAGCTACAGTTTCGTAGCCATTAGAAATGGCTATTTGCCGTGCCAAGTTCCGGGACTCCTCTCTCTGCTCTCTTCCCGTGCACACGTTAGTTAGGGAAAGAGAACAGGGAAGGAGAATTTCCACCATTTTTTTCGCAGGGAAGAATGCCTCATTATCACGCGTGATATAGGGCAGTATATAAAACTGCTTTTCTGATGTGAGGGGCACATTATACTTCCATGTGATTTCTGTGCGGTTGGACTCTACGTAACATACTTAGTGGAAACCTCATAGGAAGCGGTCAGTGTGCAAAGCTGTGTTCAAAGTGATTGAAATCTTGGTTTAGAGTTTCTTTGTTTGGTTATGGAGGCGTCTGGCCGAGTAGATTGCTATGAACTTGACCTTTCCAGGCTCTGAGGAAGGCGAAATCCGCCGAAACGTCAGCTTAATCGTGAACAAAGAATAATAACACCTCGCGTTTGCTCAACAAAAATACGAAGAAAATTACTTGATCAATGCCGAGGTTAATAGAAAGTCGGTCGTGGCAATTATTTTATATATTTATCGACGGGAAAATTGCGATAGTTATCACCTACGTACTAGTTCTCTTATGAGAACTCAGCTATAACGTAAAGTTTGCGTAGCATTTATCTTTCTGAAGTATAATCTACTTAGACGTGTGAATACACAGTTGAGTACGATCACAGTTTCTGTTCATTTCTTTCCTTCGTAGTAATCGTCCCATCGTGGAGTCTGCCTTGAATATGGTGACGTGAGGAGAATTTGGTGATCTGTGAAATATTTGCTGATGCTAATATAGCATATGTTTTGGTAATATCTACAAAAATGTCCACCTGTCGTGTAAGTAGTCTTCTCAGGAGACTCTTGCTTTTGTTTCGAGTCTACTCTGCATTTCTTTGTAAACCTATCCTGTATTCTTCTCATTATACGACCGGGCAGTATATTGAGAAACTTTGAAATTAGAACTGGGTATTCGATCCGCTTATGTTTCAGGTTTCCTTCAAACGTTTGTGAATGCTGCTAAGAATTTATGACGTAGTCAATGTATCAGTCCATTTTCTTAGCTACTTGGCAGAGTGCTGGAAGGACCTCTGATTTGTACGTTTGAGCGTAGAGTTATGGACCACTCACTTGATCAGTGGCTTTTTGAGAGTTGCGAATTTTTCCCATGTTTCTCTCCTTCTTTTTACGACGGATCAGCTGACTTTTTAGGATCCTTTCCTTCTGAGGTAAAGTTGTCGCGAGAAGTTTATGCAATTAGTGGGTTCAGGGTCGAGGGAAATATGCAATGCTATTGTCTAATCTAGGACTATTTTCCTCTGCATATTGCGCTAGTGATTCCATTTTTAGATGGAAAACTAGCTGAGAGAAAGGTGAAACGAAGGACCTGCATGACGTCGTGGTGAACGCTTCGGCCCTATGAAAAGGGTAATAGCGGGTTCGATCACCACCGCAGGCACCTGCGGTACGGCGTTTTGCAAATATTTTAGCATTATGATAGTTGCATTTCACATAGCACGTCGCCTTGAAAGATTTTGGTAGGCAGTAAATAGAAAGTTAACATTGCAATCCCACCTTTACTGATCAAGAATGACAAGAGAAAACTGTACTTACATAGGTTTCGACGGTATCTTTTTAGACTCTAGTATTTATTGCCACTCGTGTTAGGTGTGCTGAAATTGGATCGGCATTCTCTTCTGTTCTGTGCTCGAACACTTTATTGGTAGTCAAGGAGACGCCTGAGGCATGTTCGGCAGAAAGTGCGATCCCTTCGATCAGCAGCTCGTAGTTTTCGGTCGGACTTCGTTAACTTGCCACCTAGAGAAAGCTCTCCAAAACGGTCTCATCGTGCACAACTTTTCCTGTCCTTATTTGATGATAGTTCTTTTCAACTAACAGTAGAATTGTATCTTCTTACGAGGACAGTGATCCAGTGCACGTTGATGGCATTTTGGTGGTGGTTCAGTTAGTACCCGTTTATCTGTGAGTATATCATCCATCTCCGCATGAATCGTGAAATTAGGTCATTTCTATGTTGAACAGCAATTAATTTTTTTTTCTTGGAATTGGATTTCTGTGGCGGAGATAGTAGGAACGACGGTTTTTCCCGACTTTTGTCAACTTCTATAGATCGTTCTTATTTGAAATCGAAGTTTTCGACAACGAATTTTATTTAGAGGCTTTTCGTTATTAAACCTTCTTCTAACTGTTCACAGAATGCTTTAAATTCGCTCCCATCCTTTGGTAAGTACCATTTGATAACATAGATCGTGTCTTGGCGCACAGGTTGAGGACGTTGCCAGAACGAGGTGGAAGGATTTTATGTAAATCAATGAGATGGGTAACGGAAGGTTAAACGAAGTGGCGTAATCCACCGAAATTTCCTGATGGCATCTTTGCACGAATGACAAGGGTCTCGTCATTTAACTGGCATACTTCGTCCTTCGCGATTTCTGTCATTAAAGGAGCGCTATTATGTTTAGTATAGTACTGAACCTTTTCTCTCACTGGTTGAGCAAATTCTTGTTTCGTGAGCTCCTACCGTAGCGTCGCTAGGTGTTTTCTGGTCTACATCACAGGTAATCGTTAACGCTTATTCATGAGATTAATGCATTAGGCAAGATATACTTGTGGAAACACAGAAATAAAGAGTGGACTGAGTTACTAGTCTAGGACTATGTAGCAGACCGTATACGTTTTGAAGAAAATCTTAATGTGAAACCTTGCTGAGTTTCGGATTGCCTGCAGATTCTGGCTGTTGATCCAAGCGTACAATTGGAATTGTTTAAAGAGAACGGTGATGAACCTACTCGTTTCGAACCTACAAACCGTTCCAAACCTGTCCAATTAAGGTAAGGGCACCAAGTTTTCTGATAGAAAGAGAAACTTTCTTTTACATTAAGCAATACTGACAGTATTGTTTCTGTACGCTCTTGTGTTTGTGCAGTAGAGACATATGAAAATATCGTCCCATACAAAAGGCAAGAACTCGGGTTGACACTCGTTCAAACGAACTATCTCATTCAGAATTTTTTTCTCTACTACAAAATCTGTGCTAGATAGGCTTATCTTAGAGCGGTGTAGTTCGTAATTTTGTGATACGGGAAAACAGTTGAATAATTTTTTTTCTAAAATTCAACATCTAAGAGAAAAAATCTTATCATCCTTTCTATCCATACTCATTTTAGTCAATGCTTATCGTGGCGATTGTGTTATTGATTCGTATTTGGTGCTCGGCACATTTTTCACGGTGTTTCAAACAGTTTAAATACGACCTTTTCAAGGTATCATTTCTTCGTAGCCATCTTGAATGATCCAGACACACTTCCACGACAGAAAATCGTCGTTGCTTTTGTACTAGCATCTTTGTTTCACAACAACTACAGGTAAAAGAAGCTTCTTTTGCATCGTTTCTCAGCATTTTTTCTTCATTCTTGTTTACATTTTTCGGTTTTTCATTTTCTAAACTCTATTTTTATAGAATAGCACAAGAGAATTTAACGAAGAAAGGCTATGTTAATCTATGTACTGAATTACTAAGCGAAAATCAAGCAAAAGACTGCCGCCTCCTGAAATTGTGGATATTAATTGGATTAGGCCGCCTTTGGGCTGATTACGACCCTGCCAGATGGCAAGCTGTTCGCCTGGTTGCTTACGCAAAGGTACCCGTGAGGTGTTTATGGTTATCTTTATCCATAACGTCTACATGTACGTGTTGGCTTAGGTTCTGAAAGAGCTTGATGACAATGCTCCTGAAGTCCGTGCTGCTGCTGTCTACGCCTTAGGTTGTTTAGTAAAAAATCGCTCGGAGACTAACGAACATGCAGCGACGGTAGGACTTTACACTTACTATTTCCTTTAAGCATTGTGCCGTGTGGATTGTTTTAATCTATTTTCATATGTTAAGATAGATCAGGAAATATGTGACGAACTTTGTTTTAAATGTACAAAGGATGGATCGGTTCTTGTACGTGAGGAGCTCTTGATTGCCCTTCAGGTGTCATACATTTTCCTTCTCCGGTTTACACTTTTCTGTTTATTTCATTGTTTTGACTCTTTAATTTTAGTGGTATATAATTGATTTCGAGCAACGTTTCGCGAAGATTTTCTGGGACTTATCGGAGACACTGGATATTGTGATAATTGCCGATGCAAACGAGGACCAATTTGAGCACAATGTTGTTGACATTGCAGCTACGTTAGGAGACAGTGATGCAACTGGTTCGTCGTACTTTCAAACGTGCGTTTTAATCAGTTATAGCATTCAATTCCAGTGATTATCTGGGCATATCTCTACTTTTATCCCTGCTTCCATGAATTTTTAACACTTTAGATTGAATGGGCGAAAGTCATTTGTACATAAAAAACGACAGCGACCTGGTGAATCTGTCGTTGGTGTCGAAGAGGTACAGAATTTAAGCATCACATCTCCATATTTCGTTCACATATAACTGTGTCTTTGTTTTTCTTTTGAAACGCTTAAAGTTTCTGTGCACATTGGCTACAATTATAACTGGAGTTTTAAGGTTGTAACTATGAACGACCTAGCAAGTCGGAATTATTTCTCCTGTTCCATCAGCCAAGTGATGTCAGTCGTATCAGAATACACTGGTCCGTCGGAAAGTGATGTTGCCTTCAGGTAAAAATCTAGACTTTTATTACTGATGGCAGTGGTAGATAAAAATCTAGCTGAGAGAGACGAAACGAAGGACTCGCATGGTGGTGGTGAACTCGTTATCCCCCAGAAAAGATAATCGCGTGTTGGGTTCTTACCGCAGACACCTGCGGTCCGAAGTTTTGCAAATATTTCAGCATCGTTGTGGTTGTAAATTCTTATTTCAATGGATTTTTTCATCCAATCTTTCTTTCCGTGTTGCCAAAATCTTCGTGGAACTTCTAGGGAGAGAGCCATAAAGCAGCTCAACTACTTGGAAAACAAAAATTTTAAAGGACCTCTAGAACGAACCTGGTTAGCGTTGCTGCGATTATCCCTTGATCCTGTAGAGAAGGTAGTGTTCTGTGTTTGATTCCAGTTGTGTGTTTCCAATTCCAGTTCCGATTCTATTGGTCATATTTCTTCTATTTGCAGAAGAATAGTAATAAGGCGTGTGTGCGTGCAACTTTTTGTTCAGATTGCTCGGATGGCCCAGAAATTGGTTCGAAGGGTGGAATTTGTAGCAATGGAGCTTCAGAACAGTGCTACAGCTCTGAATGAAAAGATTGAGAAAGTGTCAAGTCTTGCAACTGCAAGTTGTCTTTTGTCCTAATTACAAATGTTTTGATTTCATTAGATATTCTGTCTTAGATTCCAAAAGTCGAGACACCATTTCCATTTGGAGGGGCGTCTTTTGATGAAGTTACTGTGACGGACAGTTCGTCGAAATCAATGAAAAGTAGTGACAATGAAGGAGGTACTGTTTCGTTGGTCTTTCGTTTGATTAGTTGTTGTAACGGAATTCATAGTACGGGTTTTTCACGTTAACAATTTGTTATGCGATTGTAATCTATAGAAAATTGCAGTTGATAGTTTGTCAACTGTGATGTTATCCTTTTATATCACTAAGGTTATAGCTATTTTATTGTTCTAATATTTTATAGGTGGAGTAAGGTTTATGATTGGTAGCCCTGTGACGGCAGGCACTTCTGTATTACCATCGGAAGGAAATGTGAATCTAAATATGTTATCTCCGTGTAATGACGCTGATTTTGGAACACCTAATGGAGATTTTAATCATCATTCCTCTGTAACGAAACCAAGCTCCTCGACTCTTCAGCGTCCGTCAAAACAAGTACAACAGCGGAAATTATCAATGCCTTCACATTTTCCACTTACGCCTAGAGGTTCGTTGTTTTCTCAATACACCGCTTAAACCTATTAGTGTTTCAATTTCTTTTTCATTGTTTATTAATAAAGGGTTCCTACAAGGGTGCTCACGTTGACAACGAGCACTTGTACATGTACGGTTCATGTTGCGGTCCCCTACCAATTAAATGACCTTTCCATCCATTATTAGATGAGTTCTTTGCAAATACTAATGCACTAATTTGCCTATTGTCTAGGTGAGTTCCGTAGTTCTTCCATTGTTTGACTTCTTAGCCAACTGCATTTTCAAGATTGAATGATGACTTTGTGAAGTTGGCCCGTCTTCTTCATAGAATATTGTAAAATACGGTTGTGGTTGAACGTTCGGCTGCTTACATCATCTTAAAGGAGCCGGTTAACTCATCTCTATATTCGTTGCCGTCATAAAAAAGGAAACGTCCTGGAAAAATCTGAGTAGCAAAGCAGCTAATCTCCATCTGATCCACAGGTGCTGACGAATGTCCGTGGGAAAGGCCTTGCAATACCATGGCTGCACTGTTTCGGAATTCCTGTCAATATCACTCTTGACCTACATTTGACATTTGACAAACGCGGAACGAAAACAATATATCGTCAAAACGCCATGGCTCGACTTCCTTCCCAAGACTCGCCTCCAATCTACGTGGGTGCGTCTTACCTCGACTACCCTCTACGTGCTTCCTGATGTGTGAAAATAGGATATCTAAGTATGTGTTTATATATGTGTGCTATGGTGACAAAACTTTTCATACTATCTGGGGAATTTCTCTTGTGTTTTCTAAGGTCACTGGTAGAGGAGCACGTTGCTTCAATGATGCAAAACCCCTGGAGGTGAGAAATAGACTTAGCTAATGAAATATTCAAAAATGTCACTACTCGTTATTAGCGCGACGTGCAATGAAATACAATTAGTGCTACTCCGTGGACGTTAAAATCTAACCATGTAACTGCGATGAAATGACATTTGCCATTTATGAACACTATAAGCGCCATTTATTTCCTGTGTAAGCGCCTATTTCGAAGACGAACGTATGCATTCACACCCATCACTTCATCGTCAATGGGTGCAGTTGTGTTGTAAATAGTGTCCTTAGTACACATATAATTGAGTGGAAACTGTTGGTAGAGAAATGAGTAGTCTCCATCTGAACCAATTACATGAACGTTAATTACAGGTTCAGAGTCACGCTCACAACTTACTGATATGTTGAAGCAATCGTTTACTCCGAAGAGAGGGACGGTCGGTACATTTAAAACGTAGTCTAGAAAGTGTGGCGAGCGGTTTCTGATTGATTTAGACGGCACGTGGCCAGTTTTCTATGGGCACGCCCTTGGAAAGCTCCGTAGAACCCATGCTTGGTTCAGAGTTTGTTCCATGGTGCAGTCGCATATTTGTGCAACCAATTCTAGATCTCATTCATGTAAGTGAATTATTAGGGTGTAGGGAGTGACTTTTAATGTAATTTTGATATTTCAGTCTAAAGAAGAAGTGGAGGACTTCACCGATCGTGCGCTGACGTTGGTGAATCCGACGGACTGGACAATTTTTGTCGAACAAGGACAAAAACAACAAGCGCATACCGAATTTGAAGTTTTTAAAGTATCATTTTTGGGTCTTATCAAGACTTTCTACTACTTTGGAATCAATAACAAACGTGATTTTGATAGACGGTGCCGTGTGACACATCGTTGACTACTACGAGAGTTCCGACGTGCCCTACTGTTGTTTCATTCTCGATGTTGCGAAAGAGTATATATACCACAGATGGTGATGAAATATTTATTACTCGCTATGAAAAAACACATAGTAGTCTTGCTCAAAGATTCCTCTGCAATGGCGGAAATCCGTTCAATTCTGTGAGTTGTTTATTTTGATTTCTGCAAATTCTTTCACATATTACAGTTACTATGTTAACATTTTTATCTACTGCCTATAAAAATTTTTGCGGCAGTGTATTATGTGAGGTATTATGTGATGGTAGGTTATTTCCAAGACTCCGAACCACAGGTGTCTGCGGTGAGCAACGAACGCGCTATCACCCTTTGCGGGCTAACGCGTTTACCACTATACCATGCGGGTCCTTCGTTTCGCCTTTCTCTCAGCTAGTTTTTCATTGTGACTGTATTACAGTTCTTGTTCATTTTTCGTTTTGAAACATATCATAAACTACGAAAACTTAAGGACAAAACAACTTCAGTGATAGTCATAAACGAGATGTCTCACGAAATGTTGCTGTGCGGATCGGCTACCGGTATTGTAAGAGTGAGTGTCTCTGTATTTCTGTTGCCGATTTCCAAATAGATTTCAGTATACTACACCTATGAAGATTGATATTTTAAGGTGTGGGATCTTTCGTACAATATTCACTCGCACGAAATAGAAGATATACCTCAACTCGTCACTGCATCAAATCCACTATGCGATCAGTCACGATTACCGATTACGAACTATTCCGGTCCAGTTACCTTATATGAGTTGGTGATAGTTGTTTAGTCAAATAGAATGAGCATGTGGAATTAAATGGTGTATTTTTGGTCCAGTTTTTGTTTTATTACCACTGAAAAGCACTCTAAGATGGTCTCCTTTTATGTATTGAGATTTATACTTTTTCCTTCTTTCTTAAATCATCGTTAATGTAGGGGTGCGTGTGGTGCAGTGGTCGGAGGCACCCCACAATACCCATGAGATTGATTCTCGCGCTCAAGGCTCACCAAGCCTTCCATCCCTCCGGGGTAAGCAAATTGGTACCAGATTTGTCTGGGAGGATAGCAGCACTGGTTCGGTACATTGGTAGGCTACCGCGAGTCATTGTGAAGGTCAGATATGCGTTCAGTAACCTCCAACGATGCATCATGAAGTCGAATGCATGGCGCATCGCACAAGGATTGATCAACGCCGAGTGCTTAAGAGCTTTAGCTTTAATGACTGAACATATTTTCAATTCCTCGCCATGATTAGATCTTAAATTTATTGGTATTATACATTTTCAGCTGGAGTCAAGACACAGGTCGCTTAGTTTGTGGTGGCAATGTGCGTGTAATACGAGTTTGGGATGCCCACTACGAGAGAACTTCTCAGGATATTGCAGTAGCTGTAAGGAAAGGTGCAGTATCAGCGCTTTCTGGTGAACTCGACCACAATGATCTCATTGCGGCTGGTATGTCCATAGTTCACTATGAAATTTTTAATTGTGCTGACCGATATGAGTTAAGGTTATCGTGATGGTGTACTGAACATCCATGATATTCGCGTTTCTGGTAAAGAGTCCCCAGTCATGTCATTTCACGACTTAGCAGCACGCATAGTAGGAGTTGCGATCCGAGTAAACACCAAGGGTACCGCCATTGTTACAGCTGCTGATGAAACCGGAAGTGTCTGCGTTTGGGAACCGAGAATGTTCAAGGTATGTCTGTTGTCTTTGATTGTTTGTAAAACTTGTGGCAAAAGATATTACTGAAACTTTATGCGAAACATAGTCGAGTTTCAAACGTCGACATCAATCTGTGTTTAACTACGATTTTTTTGTTCGACCAAATCAATATTATTGTCTAAACCCATGGTGAGAGTTAACGCCATATTTATACTGTTTTTGACTAATTAACACAAGTATTAAAACGCGGAGGAGCGCACGTAGCACAGTGGTCAGGTACGCCCTGCCATATTCATGGGATCAATCCCCACGCCCTAGGCTCGCCAAGCTTTTCATCCCTCCGTAGTCGGCATATTGGTACCAGACTTGTCTGGGAGGATTGCAGCACTGGCACAATGCATAGACCACCGCGAGTCAGATAAAGGTCAGATATGCATTCAGTCACCTCTAACGATGATTAGTAAAGTCGAATGCGTGGCGCATCCCTCAGGGATTGATCAACACCAAGAGATTCATCCGCTATCCTTTCAAAACGCGTGTAGCGTGGTTGTTAAAAGTGACCTCTGGTTGTCACCTCGATCCAACGCCTTAAATCTCTCCAGAGTCTACAAGTTGTAAAAACTGCCTCGACATAATCGAATTTTGGAATCCCTTAGAACCTACACGTTTCTACTAATGAGAAACAAGTTCACTTGTTCCGGTTGCTTAGGAATTCTGGACTTCTTGGTCCGGTGAAGTCATTGAAGGCACTGTTGGACTCGACTTGGTTTCTGAAGTATTTCTCACAAAAAAAAAAGTTATCGAGATGCTATATGAAGTGGTAGTGGGTAGGTGAGGAGTTTGGGGAGGAAGGTGGATGGGGAAGAGCTTCTTAACCCAACTCGCTCAACCTTTGCAGCGTCAATGGGATGTGTGATCGCGCGTTATCCTAGAGGAGGACTGCCCCTTTCTGTTTACCAATGAAAGCCGCAGCTGTTGAAATTTCTCGTGTGTGTCATTGATCGCTGGGCATACTTATCCGCTTTAGTCGTTTAACCCTGGTTCAGTAAACTGTGATTGATCAAACCAGCTACATAACAGCGAACGGTCAGCATAACTTTCGGTATAATTTCCGCTTTGAGTAGTGTTGCGGAGTTTGTTCGCGATCTACCTGCTGAACACTTCGTCGCTGGTTGTTGTAGTAGATCCATTTGTCGTACAAGGTCACAATAGTGTCTATAACCTTGTCGTTCTTGTTGCGCAAGATTGCCGACAATCTTTTAAAGCGGTAGGTTTTTTCAATTCGTACTGCATCTATTTGTCGAGCTTGTCGATCGACTTTCTAGTTTTCTTTAGATGCTCTGAAAGAGTTGAAATACTCACACAAAGCCTTCAGTTCATCGTTTTCAGTAGCAGAGAGGCTTCCCCAACATTCTTCATCTCCATGGTCGAATTTGTAACGACAGAATTTTGCAAGCCAGCGTTGCACAATGCGTTCGTTTAGCACTTCGTTGATCGTATATCTCATTAATATTTCGATCCCTTCCCTATATGCGCCTAGTTTGAATTCTTAACGATTAGCCTATCAGGATTGCTTTTTGGACATCTCAAATCTTAACGTAGAACATATGCCTAGAATGCGTTTGGTATTGTAATTTGATCATACGATGCTAAAGTTCGTAAAATTAGCTTTGAATTGATATACAACTGTATAGTGTTCGAAAAAATCTACTAAAAGTGTACAATAAAAACTACATTACCAATCGTGCATTTATCTCCGAACTAGCTCATACATAGTGAGGCCATCGCAAGCCACTGAGTAGGCCACATATGCATTCAGTCACCTCTAACCGATAACTGATGAAGTCGAATGCATAGCGCTTCTCTTGGGGACTAAGTGAGGTCTAATAGAAAAAATCTTTGAAATAAAAGTTTGGCTAAGGATTCGGCCTTGATACTACTTGTAGACCTCACAGCCGTGCCATACAACATGAACGAGAACGTTTCTTTTTTGTGTTATTTAAGCAGCCACAGTACAGTCTTTTTCAGCTCGGTTTTAAACCAATCTTTCCCAATTGCTATTTCATTTTAAAGTCTCTTCGCTTATCACTTCCGTTTAATGTCCTTCCCTAGCACTCTTCCATGCTCCACTTTCAGAAACATTGTTTAATCTACGGACAGAGAATTAGATAAATTGTCACAGCTAATTTATTTACATCACGCTACATCCCTTGTAACACTACGGGACCTCAGTACTTCTTCTATTGGATTTCGTTTTCTCGGATCTGTGAACTATGGAGGTCTACGGATTCTGCGTGTGAGTTCAGTTGCTGCTTGGGGATTTTCGGTCGGTCTTCTCTGTAAATGTCCAATTACATCTTCTGATCTGTGAGCCGTTTTGGGTCAACCGTACTGGACGTTCCAAAGTCTCAGGAATCGGACGACTTAAGAAGCTTGACTAGCGTGAGACGAGTTGGAAGCAAATACTTATCGTACTATTGGACATCACTGTGTTACTTATGCCCCTCTGTAATGACCATTTACTTTGTTTTTCGACTTAATTATATTTGCTGTGTTGCTTTGCTTTTTTAGTTTTCTTTTTCTATTGACTGTCAATATTCGCTGCAGGTTCCTGTCGTTGAAATGGAATCGGACCATAGGGCCCGTGAAGATTTGAAAAACCTTATTGTCCATAAGAATGCTGAGGTGATTCGTTTGATTCCTTCAAACAATGGAGCACTGCAAATGGTTTTATTCAGATGTTCGGTTGCGTTTACAACTACGAAGTGAAGTTGTACGACATCTGCGGTGTTCCTCTTTCTGTAATTCGACTGGGAGATTCTGAACGTGGTGTGCAAAGCTTATCTGCAGTTGCAATGCACAAACTCAGGTTCGCTATCTCATGTATCTGTTTTGATTTTTGGGAGATTCTCGCAACGGTTTACCTCCTCGTCGTGGCTGGGATGTGTTCTTGAGTGTCGGGCTGTGAGGCACAGCGGAGGCATCCGTCACCTGGCAAGGTCTCTCAAGCTGAGAAGGAGTCCGGTGTTTCCGTCAGGAAACCCAGCTAGTAGTAAATCAATACCCGGAATCGTCACCGTCCTGGTACCAAACTAGTGGCGTGGTGGCAAATCTCCCTCTGTTCCACAAGGGCTGCGACTGCCTGTGGTGATGACGATCCGTGGCACGCTTTGGCTAGGCTGACCTCTGGGCTCCAGAGAACCACAGTGGCTAGGCCAATAAAACTCCGAAAAGTGGGCATTGTGCTGAGACCCGCACAACCTGTGAGGACGGCTCTTCCAAGTATCCAAGTAAGAATGTTTTGATTCTTTTGTGTCAAATTGTTTCGGGTCTTTTTTCTTGCTTTTGCAACATTCAGTTTAGATGCATGATTGCTGTTGCTTCAAGTGATGGTACAATTAATGTTTTCGGCCAACCTAAGGCTAGTCTTTAGTAGTTCTTGCGCTTCTTTGTATATTAATGTATCGTCTACCTTTTCGATCTTCGATTTTTACTGTTCCAAACGCGACGCTCATTTTTCTTGTTACACTTATTAATTGTATTTATGTTTGTTGCTGGTAAGCCTTGTTTAAAACCGGTATTTTCGCCCAGATACATTCACTTTCATTGCTGTATTGTTTAAGTGTACTATCCATTTTTTCCTTTCTCTTCTAGGTAGCCCTCTTAGGAGCTTTTTTTGAGTTTCTTCGAAGAGACCATTTTATTTAGTTTAGAGCAGAATTGTACCGTGGTAGATATTATTGCACTAGGAATACGATGTCTTATAACTTGATATATTCTTAGTGGAGCGGACTAGGTTAGTCTTGTTTAGTTTTTGTACATGTTGTCGTTATGGTCAGTGCCTCAATTGAACAATTAGTCCTACTTGTTCAAAAGTATACTTGTTCTCGGTATAAATATTGGTTTTCACCAATGCACTGAAATTTATCTCAGTACACCGAGATGACCTGACCTAGTACCAATCTTCTGAGGGACAGTGTGCATTGTGTTTAACTTTATATGCACTCAATTAGCTCCTCAGAAGATGAGTACTCTAAACAGCCGTCTTGAGATATATGGAATATCAGCTGTTATGGCGATGCTACTCACTCTTTCGATGAAAGTTATATTAAGATCTGAGAATAAATATTGTTTAATAAAAATCATCTGTTATAGTGCACATGTACAGTTGTAAATCAACTTTCATTTAACCTTGTTACGAATGATCAATGTACATTATTTCATTAATAAGTTGATACGAGGTCGTTATCAAACGTTTATTGGACTGACCTTCCGGCGTTTGCATCTTCATCAGAGCTGATGGTCGGAATCGATAGCCCATAGTCGCCCGTTTTCTCGATGTGGTGTCTTCGTGGGCCTATCGAGACGAATATTCTTTAGTGGAGTACCGCTGCAATCTCACCGGACAGCACTCTTTTACACAGGATGGCTGTTGTTAATGATTATCGGTTGGTAAAAATTTGTTTTAGAAAGGGCAATCTATACGGCAGCAGTCGGTATAGCTTATTTATGAGAATAATGTACATTGATTATTTAGACCAAGGCTATGGGCAGTCCAGTTTACGATGGTATTACTTCGCTACGTACGCTAAGGGCCATTTAATACCGACTGCTGCAGGATGGATTGTCAAATAAATTATTGTCAACCGATAGTCGTTATCAACAACGACCGTCCTGTACAAAAGAGCGCAGCCGGGTGAGGTTGTAGCGGTTCTCCACTGAAGATGGTTCGACTTTATACACCGATGAGGGCACCGGGCACCATATTGAGATGGGAGGCCACTGTGGACCATCAATTCGGATCATCGGCTGTGTTGAAGATGAAGACGTCAAGACGTTAGCTGGACAAAAGTTTGATAACGATCTCGTGTTGGCTTGTCAATGAAATGTGGTGTATTGCACATGTACATGTACAATACATATAAACAGTGGAAACAGTGCGTCATCACAGACATAGGACGGAGTCCGCTGAAAGATCTTAACATCCTACTTACTTATCGACCACGTTATCGACTTGTTCATTATGGCAGAAATGTCCATGAAGTAGTTATTCTACGCCGTTGGTTTCGTCCTACTATGCCCAATGCGGAATGCACATCGATGGAACATTTGGAGCTATCCGTCTCACTTAACTCAAATGGAATATCTAGTTCAAGCCTGCGTCTCACTGAAATGAAATCGAAGATCGATTGCTTTATAATCAGTAGCATTTTTGCCTTGGTTAATGCTTAATTGGATAAGGTTACTCACCTACAAACATCTACGGGTCAACACCTTTGAATTCTTTAGTGCCAGTTCTCGTATGACATTGTTGATAAAATCACTGGATACATTCGATGAGATGGCAAGAATTACCATACTTAGAAACTGCAAAACTCCACTCATGAAGATTTTCTATAGCTAATGAAGATCTGTGCACACTGAACAAACACACCATAATGGTCCAAGGTTTCCATGGTTGCTTCTTTCTTATCCGAATCGAAGCCTTTCTTAAGCTAATGGGGAGAGACGTAATGGTCTCTTGTGCTTGTCGCGATACTTCAAGACCGCTATTATCGTGTTGACATGGTATATCGTATACAATCCTACTTTCTAACCAAATTATTCGTAAGAACGTCCTTCGTCTAGTGCCCTTCTAATATTTTTGGGGACAAAGTTCCTTGTACAGCAAAACATCCGTTTCTATTCTTTCTTTCCTAAGCTTACACGAGGTTGGTAAACTGTTTTATTCGGCTAACGTTCCGACGTCTTCGTCTTCATCAGAGCCGATGATCCGAGTCAATAGTTCAGTCCGTCCGTTTGTTTTCCGTCAGTTGACATTATATTGACATTATATTTGAGCAATAATTTCAGAAAAACTGAGCCATTGCCATTCTATTTGAGCTGTTCTTATCGACAAAATTACCCATTTTCACTTCGTTGAAGGTATGATCTTCCACGTAATGCTTCACTGCTGCGACTTTCAAACCCGGCACGCACCCATGTTTTGTCAAGATATGATTCGAATCATTTGTACTTCAAGGGAATCGACTTTCATCGACAGGACTGCCTTGTTGACTACAGGCCGAGTCTGTCCCTGTTGCATGTTTCGGTCTGCTTTCCAATTTTATAAACGGTGTTAACACTTGCAGTCCTACTTGAGTCTTTACGCTCACACTTGCAAGTAAACAGATCGACCGACATGAGTTGGGGTCAATACAAAGCGACTCCCAAAAACTAGGCGTCAGATAGACGCTACAGCCACAATGATTTGGGAAATTCTAGTTCTTCATGAGCAACGTCTTCTCGTCTGGATCGGTTCGTTGCACTTGATCTTCTCCATTTGCATCATTAAATTCTCGGTGTGTTGTAAATGTATAATAGCAGGAGTTCGTTCTAAGTACAGATCATTACCATAATCCCTTGAAATTTCGGAAACTTGAAGAATACAGTCCAGAGATTTTACCAGCCTTCTAACGCTGCCATATCAGAGCTTCGTCAAAGGGACGAAAATGGCGACGTTTATTCTCACCACTTTTGCCAGAAGCAATCGTGGGTAGCTTCGTGACTTCTGCTACGGTATTTCTGGTATCTCTATGTTGGAGACGAAACAATACTGTCTCCAGCTCTATTGCCAGTTATTTAACTAATGCGCGGCGTTGACCGGCCCTCCTCCTTGCGACGAAACCGAATTTTCAGCCTTTACAGAAGTACTGTTTTTCTCTATAAGAAACAATAACTACAAACACAATGATGCTGAGGTATTTGCAAAACTCCGAACCGCAGATGTCTGCAATGGGGATCGAACCCATTATTACACTTTCCGGAGAGGAGAAGTATGGTGTGGTGGTGAACGCGTTATCCTCCGGAAAAGGTAATAACGTGTTCGATCCGTACCACAGACACCAGCTGTCCGGAGTTTTGCAAATACCTCAGCACCATTGTGGTTGCAATTCACATAATATCCTGCCATGAAAAGTTGTACTAGACAGTAAATAAAAGGTTAACGTCTAGATACTCTTCCAGGCTCTGAAGAAGGCGATACTACCGAAACGTCAGCTACTGTTGTATTGTACTTGTTTTGTACGAAAGTAAATGTATGCTGTATAGCAACCTCGCGATTGCTCAAAAGAAAACGACGCATTAGGATTTAGAAACAACATTTTTCCCATAACCACAGGACACAAGGGTTTTGAATATTGCACGGTTGTGGAAGCGACTTTGCCCTGTCGGTCTATGGGTATGAGTGGTATATATGCCATGATTTACTATATGATGTGATCTATCACAAAAATAGGTTGATGTCAGCATTTAGAAGTGTTTTGTAACCTATGCTGCGTCTATTTTGGTGTTTTTAAACCCGTACATTATTGCACAAAAAATCCGATGATTCATCGCGGCGATGAAAACTAACAGTTAATTACCAGTTAAATCACCAGTCATTGAACTATTTCGAAAAACTTGCTTGATAGTTGATGCTTGAACGGCCCGTCCTCACTAGCTGTGCGGGTCCCACCATAATCTCCATGATTTTGGAGACCTGCTGGTTTAGCCACTGTAGTTTCCTGGAGTCCCGATATCAGTCTGACGAATGGAAGGCTTGGTTAGTTCGGTACTTGTGATCGAACCAAGCCAACAACGAAGTGTGGCTTTCAGGACCACTCTAACCACTGTGATACGCACACATCCCACATATAAATCCGATGAATGAATCTGGTCTTCTACTTGGTCTATAGGACAAAAGGCAGTAGCGGGATGATGTAGCCGAAACGGTAAGGGTATAACTACCA